ATTTATGTGGTATATGTTACTTTTCCAACGTTCTCACGTCTCGCGAATCTTTAAAAATTCAGAAATTATGATCGAGTGGCGAAGAAGTTAATTTTCGAAAATTAAATTTTAAGTAACTCTGTTACCCACATGTGAGTGTCGCGGCGAACAAAATATTAATAGCGTGATTATAATACACTTTTTTAACAGTGCAATTATGATATACCTTATTACTAATGTAAACAGAACAAATTCGGTTAAAAATACAATTATGATACATTCTTCAAAAAGTTACTCTAAATAGATTTTTACAATTCGAATTTTCGCGAAGTCGCGTCAAAGTGTTAAGTTTGTATTTTTCTTTTAATTTTTTCTTGTTCTTTTAGTTTTTAGTTTTTGTATTTCATCCGTCCTTGCATGACTAATCGCTGTAAGAAAAAGTTTATCCCGTTGACGAGTAAAGTTATATAACAATGTTATAAGCAGTTTTCTGCCGTTCATTAGAAAACTCGAAGCACTTTTGACAATCTTGAGACGTCTGCAATACAATTAAAGTAGATGTCGCAAGTTCCGTGCCTTCGGCCAATTTTTGTTTTGCCGAAGCTTTCATTGAGTACGCGAATTTTCATTTAACGCATTCGAAGTACACTTCGATTGATCAATATCTTTTCTTGCGACAAAAATTACCGATTCAACAATGTTTCTAGTGAAAATAAAAATTTCACAACATTGTTGAATCGGTAATTTGTGAAATTTTTATTTTCACTAGAAACATTGTTGAATCGGTAATTTTTGTCGCAAGAAAAGATATTGATCAATCGAAGTGTACTTCGAATGCGTTAAATGAAAATTCGCGTACTCAATGAAAGCTTCGGCGAAACAAAAAAAAATAAAAATTTGTGAAATTTTTATTTTCACTAGAAACGTTGTTGAAACGGTAATTTTTCTCGCAAAAAAAGATATTGATCAGTCGAAGTGTAATTCAAATAATACATAATTTTTAATAGGTGTTTCCGACTCCAATGCGCACAATTACGTTCCTCGTATCTCTGCGTCCGTGAAATAATAAAAAGAAGAAATATAAACGATCAATTCATATATTTATAAATTATCTATCCACCCTATAAATACAAATGCTTCGATTACCGCGTATAAGCAAAGAGTAAATAAGTAAATAATATAAGTAAAGTAAAGAGAGAAGCCATGTGAGCGGCGTAGCTTCGCCGAACGAAATTCAAGATCTAATCTACATACAACGAACGCACGAATGGTAACGTCCATAGATTATTTCGAACTCGCGAGCGCTATCAAAGAAACACTCTCCTGTTGATCGCAAACGAGGAAGTTTTCCATAAAGATCTGCTGTGCAGTCTATATCGTTCTCGCGCAGCGTTATCGGACCCTCTGTTACGGAGTTAAGGCCGCGGGAGAGAAAGAGGGCAAGAGAGAGAGAGAGAGAGAGAGAGAGAGAGAGAGAGAGAGAGGAGAGATCGCGTTCAACTTTCCTGGAATAAATTCCGTCGCTTCAAAAGAAGGATAGAACAGACTCGTTAATTTCTGCATCCAAGAGCGAAGACACGGTGTTCCCGAGAGGCGCAAACCAGGAGAGCCGAGGTCTCAATCTCGCGATTAATCGAGTTGTATAAATAATTGCCGCAAAAATCTTATTCCCCGGGGGGGAAACGCAATTCCGAGCGGTTCGTCGGCGCGAGACGACGAAGCGCCCGCATCGTTTCTTACGCGCGGTTTTAACGAGTTGCTTGGTCGCCGTCGCGGAAACGGCCGAGTGAAAACATCTGAAATCCGGGGGAAAATATTTACGCGGCGGTCGGCGAGCGAGACACGGGGCCGAGAACGGGGAGAAACGGTGGAAAACGCCCGGAGGTTCCATCGCGGATCTATCGAGGAAGACGTCCGAGAGGGCGGCGGGTTATTTGAACGGTCCCGAATTGGCCCGCGTGTCACCGTGGTTATTTTTTCCGGCGAACCGAGAACAATTACGAATGATTGCGGCTGACCGTTCCCATAAAACGGGATCGCGCGTACACGCGCGCGTGCGCTCCCTGCAAATTGAAACCGAAAAACGTGACGAGCGTGAAAACGGACCCTGGCCGGGCGCTCCCCGAGCTCTGATCAACCGATGCCCCGTTCGATCCTGCACGCGGTCCTTTCCCGGAACGACGCCTGTTATTCCGAAAGACGCGGGCCGGACAGGAGGACCCCTCTCGTCCGACGGCGGTTCCGTGAATGGCGAGCTAATTTCGCGCGATTCGCCCGCCGGCGGACGCAATTTCTTGTTACGGCGCGCGGCGGCTCCGTCGCCGCTGTTTCTATTTTATTTCGTTCGACCGGTTTTTATTGAAACGCGCGTTTTCAGCGGCCGGTTCGCGGGAATTGAAAACGGAACTGGCCGCCCGTGTTTTAAAGTTCCATCGATATTTAAAAGAGCCCGGAAATATACCTGCACCCGGGTGTTTTAAGCGTGTTATTGACACATCGATTGGCGCGCAGTTGTAACGAGTACGTCGATGAGAAATATTAAATATCAATTTTCCATTAATACAATTATATTTCGATACTGCTAGTTAAATGAATTAAATACTAATTAATTAAGTTCTATTAATCAAATAATTAAATGCTATTAACACATTAAAGGCGAGGGATCTTGACGAAAGTATGCTAGGTAACGCGGCGACCGCCCCGCCTCGTTTTTCGTCCTAGAGCGGGCGATATTTTGTGTAATCATAAAAAAATTTAGACTTAAAAAAGTTTATTTAAACTCTTAAAACTAAAAGAACTAAACACTAATTACAAAAAATGTTTTAAAGTACATATTTATGAGAAGTCGAGATAAATCGTAGTACTACGACTCCCGCCTTTAATGTGTTAATTTAGTACCGTTTGTCAAACATAATCGTATCTGTGTTCGGTAAAAATGTTTCAACATAATTTTTCGCATGAAACAATTGATGAAATAGTATCGACGACTAACGCAGTGATTAGGAAATATATACATTTTTCAACGTATTCAAGCATAAATAAATTTGTTCATTTCGGCGTTCCTCTTGAAATCCGTGCAGCCGGTTAAGAGTTTACATGCACACGATTCTACATCTATTCACACGATTCTATTCCATTCTACGTATAGAGAATCATCTGGGCGTACGTTACGAACGTTGGACATTCCGCGGATTTCACAGGCGGCGTCGATTGTTGAATATTTCTGCCTGTAAAAAAGGGCTGCGCGAAACCGGCTCGTAATCGGCCAGGCGCCGTTTATAGAAAACCTATAGCTGAAGTGGAATCTGCTTAATAACTAACTTTACGAGAGACCTCTCGACTCGCTACTCTGTTTTCTCGTTCGATTTTTTTTTCCACGACGGTTCTCCATCGAGCCCGGTTGCGAAAGTCGGGGTCAAAAGAGAGGAGCCCCGTAGCCGGTTAAGCGTAACGGAAGACACCAAATCGGCCAAAGCGAATGCCATCGAACTCCGGATCTGGCTGTGCTTTTTTCCAACGATATTATTTATCCTCGCGAACCGGAGGCACCGAGAGAAAAGGAGAGAGAGTGAGAGAGACAGAGAGAGAGAGAGAGAGAGAGAGAGAGAGAGAGACAGAGAGATAGAGAAAGAGAGAGAGAGAAAGAGAGAGAGAGAGAGAGAGAAAGAGAGAGAGAGAGAGAAAGATCGAGTTAATTGGGAAAACACGGTGTCCGAGCGAAAATTTATCGAGAGAAAGATAGAGAGAGAGAGAGAGAGAGAGAGTCTGTCCGTGGGAATAAAGTTAGCCCGAAGCTCTGCTGGCGCTGCCTCTGCGGTTCATCAGAGCTTGACACAATAAACACCGAGCCACCGGTGTCTTCTTTCAGAAAACTCGCTGACTCCGCTTGGTTCGCCACCTCGCCTCATCTCGTCTCGTCTCGTCTCGTCTCACCACTATTACGTGGTAAACAAATTTCTTCGCGTGAACAAATTCTTCGCGATCCGGCCCCGAACAGCCGGCGCGCGCGCCGCTGGAACACGCCAGTCTATGTGGATTGAAGTGTTGATCGGACGAATGCCAACCGAACCCAATTATTTGTAGGAATCGCGGCCAGGAGAGATTACACTTTGGTCGCGTAATCTCCGTACCATTGCTGAAACGTTATACATATGTTTCTTGAAAGTTATTGACTGTGATTTCAATTATAATTTGGGGTTGAGAAGGTTCTGATGAAACGATTCTGAATAAACCAGTCATTAATAACCGAAGAGATCTCACAATCGTCACAAGTGCGGATCTTTACGCAAAATAAAAATTGTTTGCACTAATTGCAACATGCAGGAACTACAGAGACATTTATTCTGTCTGTTGATCATTTGAATGGGCTGAAAATAAGGCAACAGTACTTTTGAATGCTTCAAATGTTTCTAATGTTTTGTATTTGTGACCTAATCATTTTTGTCATAAACATATAAGATCTGCAGTCTAGTTATGATGTATATCGGCCTCTGTTTCGGTTCTTCAGAGCCGATATTTATAGTGTTTCTGTACATATACAGGGTGCCTCAAAAATGTGTCGTAATCCGGAAATGGGAGGTTCCTGAGGTCATTTAAAGTAACTTTTTCCTTAGCGAAAATGCAATCCGCGGCTTTGTTTACGAGTTATTAACGAAAAACAGTGACTGATGACAAGGTAGCCGAGCCAACATGCAGTCGAAGCTCAGTTCCGCTGATTGGCTCGATAACGCTAGGCGAGCTCGCCTTTCATTGGTCACTGTTTTTCGTTAATAACTCGTAAACAAAGCCGCGGATTGCATTTTCGCTAAGGAAAAAGTTACTACAAATAACCTCAGGAATCACGCCTTTCCGGGTGTTAACATAATTATGGTACACCCTAAATAAAAGTTACAAATGGACGATGTATAGGCGAAACATAAAATAGCGAACAAAGTTGAAAGAAACTAAAAATGTTGTTACATTAAGTACAACTTATTTGAATTATTTAAGAGAGAAATAAGATCGCACTTGGCTCCTATGTCTTGCAATTCGTACAGACAATTTTTATTTTTCATAAAAATCCTCCATTTAATAATTATTTAAAGTGAAGCATCTGGGAAACAACAAGACCGGAATGTTCTCGACAGTCGAATTCACACGCGGGCGAATTTTCTTCTGCTACGATTATTTATCAAAGATTTCATGAAGTGGACAATCAATTTTGGCCGATGATGTCCGAGAAAATAGGCGTTCCGTTCCGCCGTGCGGCAGCGGCGGCGTATCTCGTTCCGTATTAAAACAAAGTTGCTAATATTTCATCGGGCCGGTGTTAGAGGATCGTAGCATCGTCGGGAATAGCGGTAGCCCGAGAGTCTCATGGACGACCGATAGGTATTCGGTGCCGTTAAAAAATTCACGCGAGGTATCCGCTCGCGTTCCTCCCTTGGAGACTGCATCGGGAATGCCTCTCAGAAATTCCCCCGTCATTGTTCCGGTTCGGAACAAGGTCGGGAACCGGGCTGACGCAAAATAATGCATCGAAGACCCGCTGGCCATCTCTTCAACTTTCACGATTTCTTTAGGAAAGAATCCCGCTCGAGAGAACGTAACAGAAGTGAGAACGGTCATGAAAGCTCTCTCACGACCGACGAATGTTCTATCGCGTTTCTGTTCCGATGCCAAGCTTCCGACAGTTTCGCGGACGATCGATAGATCGCCGTGACGTTGCCCCGTGGGCTTCGAGAACTCGTCGATTCCCGATTCCCGATTCCCGATTCCCGATTCCCGATTCCCGTTTCCGGATTCCCGAGATACGCCGTCCCGGAACCGCTCGAGACACCCGAGACTTGTCTTGACCGTCGATTTCAACCGAGAAATCCGCTCGTCTCTGTTACAGACATGGGTCTGGGCATGATCATCAACCGGCTCCTGTTCGTGGGACTCGTCCTGGCCGCCGTGCCGGGCACTATCATCCCTGGATCCGCTGGGTCCACCCTGGTCATGCACCAGGACATACCCTCGAAGACGTGCAGGTACAACAGGGTGTACGCGATGATGCAGGTGCGCTGCGTGAACCTCAACCTGGCCCAGGTGCCTGCCAACTTGAAGACTAACATTCAGGTACCCTCGATTTCCTACCAAACAATATATAATCTATACATATTTTGCTTTGCTCACAATCTTCGAGGACTTCGACACGGGCGCCGATGTACACCCATACACGAAAGTGTTCGAAATACTTGTGTAACTTTGACCGAATAGATGTATTTCGAAGGGAAAGTATCCTTTACAGAGTATATTAGAGTACACAAGATGTTTCATAATTATGTTGACGCCTCGAGTGGGGTGATTCCTGAGGTCATTTGAAGTAACTTTCTCCTTAGCGAAAATGCAATCCGCCGCTTTGTTTCCGAGTTATTAATGAAAAACACTGACCAATGAGAGGTGAGCTCGCTTAGCGCTAGGCGGCCGAGCCAATCAGCGGAACTGAGCTTCGACGATACGTTGAGGCTCGGCCGCCTTGCGTCAGTTGAGCTCGCCTCTCATTGGTCACTCTTTTTCGCTAAGAACTCGTAAACAAAATCGCAGATTGCATTTGCATTAAGGAAGAAGTTACTTCAAATGACTTCAGGAATCACCTTTTTCCGAGTGTTAACATTGTTATGAGACACCCTGTATAAATATCAAATTGCAAGAAATTTTCGATTTAGTATAAAACGTTTATCTACATAATACTTTTATATTATTTTAATGTTTTTTTTTTAAACATCGAATTTTCACGCCACCCAAGTATTCAAACACCTTACAAAATTAAGTTGAAAACTTACAGAAATAAATTTTTCTAAAGCTTTTACTACCAGCTCCAAAAAGTTCGACATTTTAAAAATTATTATTTATTTGCGATCGATGTCGTTTTAGATCCCTTTCGTGTATTTATCCTCCTTTGAATGGGATGGTAACCGCGTCGAACTAAAAACAATGTTTGTTAACAGATTAATAATATGTAGTATTAATAAAATGATTCAATCACGCTAACTCCGTACACGCAAGAACAGATATAATCGAAGAATCCCTGGCACGTCTAGAACCATCGTTGCAGCATATTGTAACAATAACCTCTTTACTAACCTATAAATTTTATTTCGTTTCATTCCCTGCGTATTAGTTTCTCTTGCGCCACAGGGTTTTCTTCGCGAATAAATGAACGAATGGAATGAAATAAAATGAAATGTTCAAAGGCACAAAGCAGCAACGAACAATTTTATCGAGCCGTTGCAGCCTGGAGAATGTCGAAGCTCTTTTACCTTCAGAGATAGATCCCCGTGCACTGTAACGATCCTCATCGATCTCCCATGTAATCCGTTCCAGATCCTGGACCTGTCCGTGAACAGGATCCGAGAACTAACGAACAGCAGCCTGGCCGCGTACACGAGCCTGGTGTTCGTCTACCTGAACGACAACTTCATACGGTCNGTTTCCGAGTTATTAATGAAAAACACTGACCAATGAGAGGTGAGCTCGCTTAGCGCTAGGCGGCCGAGCCAATCAGCGGAACTGAGCTTCGACGATACGTTGAGGCTCGGCCGCCTTGCGTCAGTTGAGCTCGCCTCTCATTGGTCACTCTTTTTCGCTAAGAACTCGTAAACAAAATCGCAGATTGCATTTGCATTAAGGAAGAAGTTACTTCAAATGACTTCAGGAATCACCTTTTTCCGAGTGTTAACATTGTTATGAGACACCCTGTATAAATATCAAATTGCAAGAAATTTTCGATTTAGTATAAAACGTTTATCTACATAATACTTTTATATTATTTTAATGTTTTTTTTTTAAACATCGAATTTTCACGCCACCCAAGTATTCAAACACCTTACAAAATTAAGTTGAAAACTTACAGAAATAAATTTTTCTAAAGCTTTTACTACCAGCTCCAAAAAGTTCGACATTTTAAAAATTATTATTTATTTGCGATCGATGTCGTTTTAGATCCCTTTCGTGTATTTATCCTCCTTTGAATGGGATGGTAACCGCGTCGAACTAAAAACAATGTTTGTTAACAGATTAATAATATGTAGTATTAATAAAATGATTCAATCACGCTAACTCCGTACACGCAAGAACAGATATAATCGAAGAATCCCTGGCACGTCTAGAACCATCGTTGCAGCATATTGTAACAATAACCTCTTTACTAACCTATAAATTTTATTTCGTTTCATTCCCTGCGTATTAGTTTCTCTTGCGCCACAGGGTTTTCTTCGCGAATAAATGAACGAATGGAATGAAATAAAATGAAATGTTCAAAGGCACAAAGCAGCAACGAACAATTTTATCGAGCCGTTGCAGCCTGGAGAATGTCGAAGCTCTTTTACCTTCAGAGATAGATCCCCGTGCACTGTAACGATCCTCATCGATCTCCCATGTAATCCGTTCCAGATCCTGGACCTGTCCGTGAACAGGATCCGAGAACTAACGAACAGCAGCCTGGCCGCGTACACGAGCCTGGTGTTCGTCTACCTGAACGACAACTTCATACGGTCGATCGACGAGGACGCGTTCAGCAACCTGCACTATCTGGAGGTGCTGGACCTGCAGGAGAACGGCTGCGACCACTTGCCGCGCAGCATGTTCCAATTACCTTACCTGCGGAAGATGTACCTGGGCTCGAACGACTTGCAGGTAGTGTTGAGAATGGTACCGCGTCGACATCTATCGATAACAGTTGACAAATTTCGATCCGAATTGTATCGAAGGCGTATAGCGGTGTGAAATATAATAATTATAGACTCGAAGTGACTTCGACGTTTTTCGTGAAATCTAAACGAAAACTTAACGAAACACCATGTTTATTCGTTCATGTATTAGAAACAATAGAAAATAGAAACATACAAGTACAGTAAATTCTCTCCAGTTGTCGCTCAGCTTGTAAACAAAAGTGGACAACTATTTTTGTATTGTATTTGTAGCTGTCAGCTATTCGAGGCTCTCGCGGCTCGTTTTTGTAGACGGCGATATTGTCAACAATGATAATTGAAGAGAATTTGCTGTACAGCTTTTGGTTGGTTTTTATTTGAATGTCAGTAAAAATGTAAAAGTTAGATCGTGTTTATAATTACACAGCACTGTGGGTGGCCTTCTTTAGTTGAGATACATATATATATATATATATTATTATATTATTATATATTGTTATATAATATAATATTATAATAGTAATATATATAATATTAATATAATATATAATATAATATATTATTATATTATATATATCGTATTTTATCGTATTTGTATATTTCTATGTTACAAATAATAGAAAATAGAAATATACAAATATGTTTTGTTACGTTTTTGAGACGAGTAACAAATGACGAAGACGAGTGATACTAAGGTACCTGAAATTTTGATACATATCGATATACATGTTATCAAGTACTTTGATATCGAATTGATTGAATATCATCGATAATATCGGTATCGATTTCATCATTATTTTCAGGACGATATGTTCACGCACATGGAGGTCGCGTCGCCGTTGAACTTCCTGCAGATATCGAAGAACAAACTGAAGAGGATCCCGCAGCTGGGCCTTGTGCCCACTATGGCGGAGCTGAACGTCTCCCAGAACTTGATCGAGTCGGTCACACCCGAGGATCTGGCGCCTTTCTGTTTCCTGAAGAAGCTCGATCTATCTGGGAACAGGATCAAGTTCAACGCAACCGCTTGCGAATGCCAGACGCTGCACCATTGGTTGAAAACACGCGAGATCACGGTGCTGCCAGCATTCAACTGCACCGAGGAGTTGAAACGAGGCTGCCTGCCCGATCCGGTGTTCAACAACAGGACCAGCGAGATGTTCGACAAGTGCTCGAACATGGAGCGGCTCCGTATCCAGACGAAAAAAGTGAGGAACATCTGGATCATCGTCGCCTCCTGCATCGCGGGCTTCCTTTTCGCCTTGTTCGTTTGCCTCACCTGCGTGCACAAGAAGAACAAGCGCAGGAAGAAGAAGCTGAAGGAGCAGCAGAGGCTGAACGCGAACAACGCGAACACCGAGCTGTTGAACAGCAACCTGAACCAGCCGGAGAACACCTGAGCGGCGGCGGGATCCAGCAAGGCCACTGAGAATCGTCAGGTACCAAGATCGCGCCGATAAAATTCTCGGATTTGTATTTTGTAAATAAACGAGACATTGGGCGAAGCGATGATGCTATCAGGTTGTGTGATAAGTCGGTTTGCGTCAGGTACCAAGATCGCGCCGATAAAATTTGCAAACGTTACCGCAGTGTTTTAAAATTCTTGGATTTGTATTTTGTAAATAAATGAGACATTGGGCGAAGGGATGATGCTATCAGGTTGTGTGATAAGTCTCTCCGACGCCTAGGAGAAGACAAGGAAAATTACACGAATTAAAAGCGACAGTTCAGATGAATTTTGTGATATGTTCTCGTGGAGCTGTTTCTATGTAACTTAGCTTAAATGAAAGCTCTAAGTATCTGCTTTAAGACAGGGCCGATTAGATTGCAATAAAATGATGAGATCGTTTTGAAAAATTAGAAAGAATCGAGCTCTGACATCATGAGGTTTACAAGAAAACGTGAACGGATTTATTACACAACACTCTTTGCAGAAACTCTCTGATTATCATTTTGTTAACGAACGTGGAACTGGTGGAGCGATGACTTCACTTTATACTGTAGTTACTCGGAATCTCGATTTTTCAGTCTTGAAAAATTCTAGCAAGATTATAAACAGAGCAAACAACATTCATCCGGATGTGGCAAATGTTGAGAATTTCATAAGCATTGTATAAATAATTGAGAAACTCGCAAAACGATTACTTTTACCTGTCATTAATTTCGTGCGAACTATATGTAATTCCGTTTCTTATTTCCAGGTGCAAAGAGAGGGCCCTTTTTCAGCGAGCTTGTTTCCAAAGAGCTTCCGAAAGACATCCGAACACATTTACAAACGTGAAGAGGATGTGGTGGGTGCTGATAGCGAATTGAACAAAACAAAGATGCCGTTGAGCTTATAATAAATAAGCTGAGAATAAATTGAGAACGACTATCGTGGCCGTGGATATTCCAATTACGGGCCAGCTTAGGCGTTGATTTCACCCGGCTGCTATCGTTGGCCCTCTCGCCCGTAAGCAGCTCTTTTCGATGGCCGATACTCGCTCGGACAGCCGTCGGTTTCTTTGAAATGGTTCACTCGAAAAAATTGCGCCATTTAATATCGATTCGATCGCCGTTTCTACGTGCCTCGACACGCTGGACGTATCCTCGCGGGGTGGCAAACTCCATTTTTTCCTGGTGTCATAGAAAAAATCTCGTTCGCGCAGCCCGTCGGGCCTGTAATTGCAATTACACGCGAGTTTACCGCTGGGAGATTGTAACGCGCCGCGTTTAATTGCAATTAGAGTCGTCAGATCGGCGCGTATTAGCGTGGGGTGCGCGCGCGCCCACTCGGCGGGCCTCTTTTTTTTTTCATTTCACATTCGCGAACCCGCGAAACCGGAAACGATAAATGACGTTCGATCGAACTGCCCGCCGTCGAGTCCCCGCGAATTTCGATCCAATCTAATTTGCGTCGCGAGCGAAACGAGGTTTCATATTCCACTCTTTTTACATTAACGAAACCGTGTTGTAGATATATACTCTTATATGTGTATGTATGTATACGTATATACCTCTATATGTATGTATGTATGTATTATTATATCGTATTTATTTATATTGAACGTCGGAGAGTTCTATATTATTGTAACACTCGGTTCGTTTTTTACGCGACGCCTTTGTCGGTACTGAATTTATAGAGACGTCTTTACGTGGCCGAAAAACCAATTTCGATGGCCTATTTTTCTTTACTAAGGTGCCAAATAATGTTACTTTTGCGTTAGGAGACAGCCCCTGGTTTAGCAATTTGAAAAATTATCTTCTATACTGCTTCGATTAATATTAGTATTAACAATAGTATAAACTTAAAGATTATTTTATTTTTAGCGTTTTAAATCAGGTCCATCACTCCCCTCTTTAAATCATATTTCTTGACAAGGTTCTATGAATTTTTGTTGACTGTGTATGTTGTACGAAGAAATCGACATTCGAAACCACGTGAAATTGATAACGACGCTTCCCGCGTCCTCGAGCCTCCTCCAATGCTGCCAATCGCTGTCATCTTTCTAAATACATTTTACACTTTAGAGTGTCGATGGAGTTTCTTAAAATTTACAATAATTAAGGCAACAACTTTTAACATTTTCATACTTCTTGGTAACTTAAGCTAGCGACTTATACCTGAACATTCCAAGTTTATCGTATTTAAATTATAAGTAAGCAGGTTCATTGCATGAGTAATATTTCTACGTGATATCAATAGGATGAATGTTCGAATGAAATTTCTTCGTATGCAACTGCCCGTGATTGTACTTAAAACTTCGTTGTAGCGCTATATATTTCATTTTTTTTCTCTCGTAGCGTTTACTACGTACGAAACGGACCTATATACGTTGTACAAAAGATGTTACCGAAAGTTTGATGGATTCCATGAAATAAATCTTAAATCCAGTTGTTGATTTTATTGAGAACCTTTCACAATTTATTTGAAGTTTAACCAAGTGGCAAATCGCTCAAACTGTGAGCCAAAACGAACTATGCTTAATTTTGCGTACCAGTTTTAATCTTTTTTTAATCTTTTGTTTTTGTCCTAATTTGTGATAACGATAACATTAATTACACAATTAACGATTCCGTGCTGTTTACGACAAGTAGCGCCTCTTATGGGAAAATCTACAAGCTCTGTTCAGTGTCCATACAGCGCCAATTAGTACATGGCAAAATGCTGAAACTGGTAGCCAAATAGAGCTTCTAGATTTCGCCACAAGAGGCGCCACTGTTTCGCTAATAGTTTCAGCGTTCTGCCATTTACTAATTGACGCTGTACGGACCCTGAACGGAGCTTCCAGATTTCACCACAAGAGGTTCCACTTGTCACGCATGGCGCTACTTTTAATTATCTATTTTTTTATACGAGACATCCAGAATATTCTTATCTACTTATTTCAGTCAAATTTCCCTGATAAGAGGTTTAAGCAGCCCATTTCACTAGCAAATATAGATCTTTTTATTTGCAAAAAGGTGTCTTAACAAACAATATATGTAAATAATAACAGCAAAATATATTTAGGAACTAAAGTCACCTGTATAAAATTGCATAAAGACTTGTTTTTCGTTTCGAGTAATCTATGTTTGGCGATATTGTAATACGAAATGGAATCATCTGCTGAATAGAATTATACAGGTATGTTACTATTAGTACTATCTATTAGATCGCTATTACTTACTTAAGTTCGTGGTTTGTACTATTGCCGCTTATATTCTTACAACACTTTATGATATTATTAGTGCAAAAATATTATTACTCTAATTAACATTACGTATCAAAATTACTGTTATAAAGGAACTTTATGTGCTACACATATCTACATTCCTAAGTACTAGCAATACCGATGGTTTGAGCAATACTGTTAGGTAAATATTCAGTCTTCTCATAGTAGATTGTGCGCAAAGTATGAACATACTGTTTTACCTTATACCTTTGTGCAAGATAAGCTTACAGGTTTGAACATAGTTGCATAGTTATGCATTCCGGAGTGGGAGTGGTCTGACTGATATTTTGTGTCAGCCCATTGCACACTCCATCTGCAGTGACCGGCAACATCGGAGCATACTGCATATAATGCGGTTGTCCAGTAACTGCATACCAATGTTCTTGCATGTTTTGAGGCGGCATACTGTACGGGGCAGGTTGAGGACACATGTACGGAGGGCATACGCTAGGATAAGCCTGTGTATAATCCATTCCGGGACACAAGTGCGGCGAATATGGTTGCATGTTGCTATTATCGGGCACATCTGAATGCGGTAAACAAGGTATTGGGAAGAATCCTGGATTAGGTGGGTAATATGGATTTGCGAATGCTTCTGTCTCGTTTGCATAATATGGCATCCCGGAATACATGCCCTGTTGCATATACGGCGCTTGATACGAGTTCATCGCTGCAGCCGTTGAACCGTGTATTTGATGAGGTGCTGCCATCGATTGTTGCACACTATCGTTCTTTGATTCTTGAGATTTAGAGGACTTTGTATTTGGTCCACAATGTGAATACTGATTACCCTGATGCGTAAATTGTGATGATGAACGGTGTCGATCTGAAGAATAAATGATGCGTTTGTTAGGGCACAATTAATCACAAATATTTTATTTGTGAAGTTGTTTTCGCAACATACTGTCTGAATTCCTCTTAAATCGTGGAGCCAAACCGTTTCTATTCGGACGAGAAGAATCTCTATTAACCGGCTCTTGATCCTTCATTTTCTCGCGTTGTGATTGCAACACATCTTTCCCTTCATCCGCCTTTGGTATCTCGGGACTCTGTACCAGCGCGTCTTTCCCGTTCACACAATTATCCCCGCTTTCTTGGTTTAATTGACTGCTATTCTCTTTTTGATCACTACTGTGATCCGACCTTTGTGGCGACATTATGCAATGTTGCATCACACCATTCGCAATGGTTGTAACTTCATCCTCGTTCTGTGACATACCTACAGAACAGATAAATTTGCATTTAAAGAGTGTGATAATATATAGAGACATTTTTGTAAACATAAAATCTAAAGCACCTTGGTACCATTGTCCTACATTGGATGATTGTTCGTTTGTCAAATAATTCCAGTTGCTGCTCCCACGAAAACATTCTAATCCTAAGTTATAAAAAAATCTCAAAGTAAATGGATCTATAAGGAAAAAATATAATATGTAAACGAAGATTAATTATGGGCATGTATGTACGAAATGATTTTCACTTATACCTGATAACGGTAAATCGCTGCCGTTTACATCAACGCTTTTTTGTACCGAACAATTAATGGAACGTAGCATATTATCCACTTGAGTTGCGGATATTGGCTCTCCTGAGAAATGATTGATAGCTATAGGAACTGTTTGATCAACGAAGCGATAATCTTACATACCAGAATATGGGGAATAGAAATTTTCAATTTGCGTTCTTTGGTTCGGGTACGAATCAAATCCTGTATTATTATCGGAATTCAATGCGTTATCAGGTTTCGAATTTTTTACTGGATACTTTTCAGCATTCTTGTTTACAAATGTATTTTTTTCTTTACGTCCTTTGCCATTTTCTTGTCCGATATCCGCTACTAACGATTGAGTATTATCAAGATTCGTTCTTGTAGGGAATATTTCAGAAGAGGCCTATGGAGAAAGACTTTTATTAATGTTTTATATACTGGTTTAATATATTATATATTGGTAATATATATTGGTTTAATATTTTTCGTACTGACTCAACGTACATTAGCCGAGTAATTTGCATATTTTTCCAATCCATAGTTTTCATATGCTTGTGACTGTTCTCCTTTCCTACAATAAGAGACAAATTCGTATAAAGAAGAGCTTATAATACTAACTGCTCTTGAGATATCAAAAAAGAAACACTTACAAACTTTCCTTTTTCCACTGAATGCTGTTTTTGTTAGTACCATCAGTACAATTTTCATTATTTCCATTTTTATCAATACTACCTGAAGAAATGGTCACACTGGAAACTGACTGCTTAATCTTGCGTGAAACTGCACTGTAGGGTTTTTTCCATTTCTGACCTAATAATACAAATATTTTAGCAAGAGAGGAAGTTTTTGGATAGTATAAGTGTAGTTCCTGAATTACTAACTTGAGTCTAAAAGCACATTTCGTTTGCACACTTGCGGCCAATTACTTTGTTTACTTTTTCTTAAAGGCAATGGCTTGAGAGCAGAGTATGGTACAATCTTCTTCTCTCCTAGCTCTTCAATGAAAACCAATACGGGACCCTGATCTTTACTCATTTCTTGTATGTGACCATAGAGATATACAGGATCCTGTTTGTCAATTTTTTGTAATGCTTTTGCATCATTGTAATTAGCATCTTTCTCAAGCGAAGACACATAGACATTATTATTGTTAGCTTTGTCAAAATCTTCTTCGTTAAAATCCATTTGAATTAAACATTTACCACCAACTTGTAATTCATGACTATTGTGTCTGGTCCAGCCTGCATTTTTTACTTCTAAACGATTTAAATTATAATAACCTTAAGCATAGTCAGATGTACATAATTATGATATACATAGAAAAAGTTGCATTACCTCTTCTGATCTCATGCCATATATCAAAATCAGTATTACGATAAATATTAGGATCGAGGGCTTTCGCAACTCTGTAAGGAAATGGCGGTATATTCTTTGCAGTACTCTGTGCATCATCCAGCTCGTCATTTCCATTCTCCACTTTACTATATATTTCTGCAGTCAACTGACTAAACAGATACAAAATGAATTTAGATATATATTTCCAATCAATTACTAACGGCGCAAGTATTAAAAGTCTTACTCTCGTATCTCTATGTTGCCTTTAAGGAAAAATTTGTCATGTCTAAAAGTAGCAGTTCTATCATGTAACATCTTATGAACAGTAGACTCTAAATTAGCCATGTTGAACACACCTTTGTAAAGTATTTGATAAACAATAGCTGTAAAACAATACATAGATAGTTACATAATTATACCAACTCGTCTGATTTATTAAAGGAATTCCTGCACAACATGATCTTACATTGACAATAGGCTGCCGATGCAACAAACTCTTGCGTGCAGATACTTTCATATTGTTTCTGTGGAGTATGGCACAAATAGATTGTATCTTTGAAACCATTGTTAGTAACACTACGTTGAATCTGTTTCTGGCCACTAAATATAACAAATTCCTTTTCATACAACAATGACATAGCTTGGATTTCATTTCTACCACCCCATTCAGTAAAACAAGCCATTTGGTCTAGATAGTCATCAAATGGTATTGCTATATTCTAAGAAATAAAAGTTTCAATACAGAAACCATTAACAAGACAATGCGGTTTCAAATTTGCTTGTGTACCTCAAAAGCTGATTGTCTCATTGTTCTCATAAATTCCACGCACTCCTTCCTGACTCTAAGATGGTAGTGTTGTGTCATGTAAACTTGTTCACTGACTGCTCTGAACAAACAAGTTGGATCTCTAGGTGCATGTTTCCTAAAATATCCTTTAGCTTGCAGCCATTCGTCTACAGGTTCTTGCGCACGTTTCGACGGTTTCCTGGGCGATATTTCCATTCTATTTCGAAAGTAAACTACCATTTAATGATAAACGATCAGAATGTTCAATTAGCGATCGGTGACCATCGAGTGATGTAGCTGTAATCAGCAACAAACGTCTAATTTCGTTAATTCTTTTCAATCATAAGCAGTAAACAATCGATGTAATAATGATGAAATAATGCAAATTTCTTTATCGATTAATGGCCAACTCTGATCTTAGTATATCTGTCGCGGGATCATGTAAACATTGAGATAATACGAGATCATAATTAACATTCTCAAGTTGTATGTAAGTAGTTTCGATAACAATCTGCGACATTCGAAAAACTAGGAAGGACATTAGTCTTCGTCTTTGTATAGCAAATCGCGAATTTGAAAATAAACAAAAAAATGTGAAATCTACAGTGATAAGAATAAATACATATATTTGTATGTACCTGTTTAGAGAGGAAGTAACGATAAGATGTTCGAAACTTGTGCGAGCGAAAATCGTCGATTGTAGCGTTTCTAAGACGAACAATTAAACCATTTAATTTGTACTTGTGAAAGGCAGCATGGCTACCAAAGGACTAGCAACAGGTCTTTTCTCACGTTGTACATAGTTCATAGAATCGATTTCCGCGAGACTGACTAATTATTGGACTGATACGATTCGCTGACCAATCATAGCTCGTTATTCCATCATCACTTTATGACATGGTTTTTGTTGGGGAAAGACACCACCACCACCATAAGCTGACAAATGACACTCTCCCTTTGTTTGAACTTAGGCGCGTCAGTTCAAACAACTTGAAAATTCCACAGTTTCTTCGTTAAGTATTTCTTTTAATAAGAAATATTTGTAGATGCTAAACTAAAATTTATAGTAAGATTTGATACGTAAGCAGTTCTTTTGTGAACGCATGAATCGACATTGAAAAGAATACAGTAAAGTTTCGATCTTTTTTTTACAAATTACTTTTTTATTCGTCATAATTTTTATCGGAATGACAATGCGATGTGTACGAAATATTAAAAAAGTACAATAGCCCGTTTATATAAAATATGATTTTTACACAAATATAAGGTCAACCGCTGTACCATTGCGATATATCTGTAACGCATGCAATGCTACCCAATTTTGTTGCTATCGAAAATAACGTTCGTCTGGCGTGCAGAGCTTTTCTTAGTATAAAAAGTACATCCTTTGGCGAGTTAGTGTATAAAGACGGATGCTGATACAAGCCCAAAAATGCTTAGATCGTTGGTAACGTTAGGAATCGAACCGGTTGCGCTTTATCAAAACTTCGTTATCGTATTTTTCGTTATGTTTGGGCCCGAACCCTCACACCGCCTAACCGTTGTTAATACAAATAGGTCCGTGTAAAAAATCGACTTGTACGTGTCTCGCCGAAAGGAACGCTCGTGGCGGTAGGATAAGTATAATCATAAGATTACATTAACACAGTGTTTCGCATTTTCCTTTTTTTTTTCCTGTCGGCAATGTATGAGTAATTGTTATAAAATGTCGTGATATAGAAAATGGAAGAAATGAGTCGCTGCTCCCTTTCTTTTCTGTTTTTTTTTTCTTTGAATCACAAAAGCTTCCTTTTAAGCAGCTATTTTCTCGGCGTCGATCGCTGAAACAGGTAATATAGTTTCATTTAGTTTTCTTCTCTTCCTTGTAAATGTTCTCAAACTGCTACAAGGTGATTCAAGTTACAGATTTACCTTCTTTGGTTGGCAAAGGATTTTTCTCCAGCGTTTCCGCGTGTTTCAGTTTCGCCTGATCGAAATTTTCAATTCCAGAGATTAGCTGCTGCTTACCCTTCTCTTGCTGGATCACTGTACAACAGGGATATACAACGTTTACTAATCCTTTGTAAAATTCGTTTGTAAGAGAGAGTAAGATAGTACTGTACCATCCTTGTCAGGTAGAGGATTCTTTTCTTGGGTCTTGGTGTGTTTTAGACTGGCCGGGTCGAACTTCTCAATGCCGGCGATCAGCGTTTGTTGAGTTTTCTCCGCGGCTACGTCTATAAAACGAGAAATCATTATTAAAAAGAGGAAAATACGATTTGCTCCTTTGCTCCCTTGCTCCCCTGAAGTACGCCACAGAATTCTGAAGAAAAAAGCGCAGATATACGTTGTCTGTAACCAATCAAGCGACCAATATGATTCTATGAGTTATCTTTCAACAGAGAAGGCTATACAATATTATTATGATATACAATACTAACACTTTAGCTTTTCAATAATTCTATTTAAAAGAATCTCAATTTCTTTTTAGGTGATATATTTTACTGTAGCTATAATATAATTTATCAAGGAAACTTCCAAAGGACAATTAGACAAATTCGCATAGCTAAAGTATTAATTTAGTGAACATTATAGAGTAGGAGACCAACAATTTCCCATGAAAAGTACTGTGCAGAAACGAGAAGATAACTATACAGATACAATACTGGTTGGTTGATACTTTAATAGAGTGTGAGAAGCAGAGTGGGGGGTGTCTCTAGTTATCTCGTCGCCTCTCTACAGTACAGTACATAATTCCTAAGCTCTTTGAAAGCAAAAGCATGTAGCGTATATAAACAATTCAGATGATCATGTGCCCGTGTTTGCATCAAAGCACCGAAAGCAACAGGCCCCTCTATTACCGGCTGCAGAAACAGAAACCTGTCTGCGGTACCTTTGGCGTTGGGTAAAATAATCTTCTCTTTCGTGTCGGCGTGTTTCAATTGACCTGGCTTAAACGACTCCAGGCCATGGATCAATTCCGAATGCTGTCGTTCTTGTCGCACGTCTACATACAATATTTCTATTACAATCTCTTTAAACAAATCGGATTCGCTTTCATGTGACCTCCGCTGCTATATCGGTCTCCTCGTTAATTACACACTTGCGTTAGAAAACAGGACATACAGAGTGTCTCTGTGTTATTGTCATAAAACTTTTGTATGTGTACAGTAGATTCCAGCCAGCATCTCTTGGCTTCATTAAAGAGCTGCTAATTAGGATTATTCGATTAGAATCCATTTGTTCAATTTAGTCCCAAAAGAATGGCTGCATCGACTCAAATAAGCGGAATCTACTGTATACAGTCAATCACAGAAATACATATATGTACATCTACTGAGTAAAATCGCTTGATTCTATGTTTCGCAGTAGAATGCAAACTTCTGTGACAGATGGTAGGTCCCACTCGACCATTTCTCGCGAGGATACAGCAGATAATGAAAGAAAACGGATTCATATTGAACATCCACGATACTTTATCTCAACGAGAAATGGTTCTAGGGCTCACATTTCGAGTTCTTTGTCAGATATAGCCCAGTTAATTCCGAGATAATCAGCGTAATGCGAGTCCAAGGCGAAATGTACCTTCGGCAGAAGGGAGAACATTCTTCTCAGCGGTGGCGGCTTTCTTCATGCAGCCGTGATTGAAGCCCTCCAGCTCGCTTTTCAGGTCTAAGGCTACTTTCGGCAGATCCTTCAGCGACGGACTCGACATGGTGGCTCTGTTGTACTCCTTAATCTGTAATAAAAAAGAAAGGACAATTACGATCGGAAAGTCAAACCTCCACTTTCGTATAACCTCGGCGAAACAGTTCGCGCGGGACGTTACAACAGTTCTTCGAACAGCATTATGCGTCTTCCTGATATTTTTAATCGCGAATATCTGAATACTTTGATCGACCCGTAAGCGGTTCTCGCTCGGCGCTCTAATGCAACGGGCACCACCTCGGGATGATGCCAGATTACAGCGAGCGACGCGAAACTTCCAACTACAGAAGTGACATCAACAACAAACCGTACAATCCGAGATTAACCGAACTGCCGTTCCGTTTTTTTTCCCTGTGCCGACGCGATACGTTACTGTTTACCGCGTCCTGCGCGACGAGACAACCGCGAATTTGATAAAACAGGTCACCCTGATAAAAAAGTACGCGATTCTAGCCGGGCGACATTTATAAATAATTACGATTCCTAAGCGAGATTATTTTTCGACGAAAGTGCTCGGCCAGTGATGGGCCGCGCACGAGTCCTATCGTTTGTGCTTCATTCGCAATATCATTTTTACGAACTTGATGAGACACGTTTCTACGGTTTGTGAAGAAAAATCGTGAAGATATTTCGTTACATTGTTTCCAGAAACGCTGGATTGATTATAAGAAGCGACCTTAAACAAGAAAGACATCGTAGAAGCATCGTACGAACGAACGCTTTTAAGACCTACGCACAGAGACAATAGGAAAACGTGCTCGTGGTTGAACACCCACGTTATAACAACAAACATGATTGCGCCGCGGAAAATTACCGTTTCGCATGCGAATAAAAACGAAAAGTAAAACGAAGCTCCATCGAATTCCGTCGAGTGGTCTAATAATTGCGGGCGAACAATAATAACAATGGTTTGCATGTAAGTAAATAATCGGCGCAAAGAACGAACGCGCGAATCTCCCGGTGTCGGCGAACGCGACGTTTCATTGTTATCGTGCTACCGGGAATGGAACAAGGTTGTGTGACAACGTGAACCGTTTATGTGCGCACACTATCGACACATATCGATAGGACGGTGTCGTCCACGCGGCGTTTTCCGATGCAAGTTATTGGCAGGAACGTCGGAACGCGTCAATGAATGCGTTAAACAAGGTACGACGCGCCTTCGATCGTTTCCAGACTCAAATCGATATCGCCACTACCGGAAAATACTGTCTACCTTTCAAATTATAGCGATTTCTAGACTCGAAATGTCAGGGACCAAATGGAACATTATTATTACACCGGCAAAACTTTTTCTATAAATTCTATGAATCCAGTAAACAGTTGCTAACGTAGCAGTAATATCGAATAAAAATAAAACGAAGTCCATATAAGGTAACATAAGTAGTCTTTCCATAGGTGGACGCATCAAAGTCACGAGTACGTCAGCCATACTGTTCTGTTCAGAGCTGTAGAAAAATAATTAGTGGACTGCGGTTTTTTATGCAAAATAAACATTTTCTGAATCATTTGTAAGAAATGTATAAATATAATTAAAAAAAAGAAATATATAAATATAATTAAAATAAGTAAACATGTATTTGTAACTTCAATAATTTCAATAAATCAAGGAAAATGTATGAACAATCTCTTAAATTCTTCTAATGTCTTCTTTGTTTGGTATTTCACCTTGCCAATTTTAGCACAAATGCATAAAATCCCCGGTCTATAATTATATAGAGAAACTCCGCAAGTTTCGTCGTATTAAATCGAAGTTGCCCAAAAATGTTTGTGCTCATTGAATGATTCGAGTCGAGAATGTTGCAAAGTCCGCAGATTTAGCCTACTATTAGAGAACGCTTGGAGAACGTCCGAGGAACGAGAAGGTCGATTTTCTTCGCTCGGCGCAGGAGCAGGACTCGGATCCTCTCGGATCCTGGCGCGGGGATGCGAGAACCGAGGAAAGGCAAGTGCCATAAATTCCAGACGAGTAACGGCACTGTTTCTGCCGAATGCAAAGCCAGGCAGCTGTTGCTCGCCTAGCGTTTCCGGTCTTCGCGTCTTGCTTTGCGGCGAAGTTAACGGATTTTTCGGGTCTCCTTTCGAAGCGCAAGCTTTTTTCCTCTCTCAATTCTAATTAACGAACGCTCGCGGAACGGTGGCTCGCCTTCAAGCTCGACGGACTCGCGGATCTCATACTTCCTAATCACTGGACAGGCTGTAAAAAAGGAAAAGAAATTAACGCTGCGTGTTTCACACGAAACGATCTCCTTCTCCCCCCCCCCCCTCTCTGCATATATATACATATGTCTCGTTAAAATTCGGCCGGGAACGAATCAACGGCCGAGACTTTTCTTTATCTGCGGATCTCTCGCCGCCGCTGCACGCTGCCAACTAACGCGTTACGAACCGGAAGCGGCAGAAGCTCAGCGCGCTTCCGGTCCCCTCTTCCCTCCATTTTGTTTCTTGTCACACATCCTTCGCCGCCGCGATCCCCTACCGAAACGCTTGCGGTTTTTATCGGTCCCGATTTTCTTCTGCGTTCTCCTCGGGAAAGGAACGAGCTAACTCACGTGTAACGATTAGATGTATCGGGTAAATCCAGCAAAGTCCATTACAAGCTGGTCTAAAAATATACAGTGGCTTCGCTAAGTCTCCACGCATTGAACTTTCGATTTTCGACAAATCGCGCGACGTTTGAGCTATCAGAATTCCGTAAAAACGAGGCGGTCGACGATCAAACTGAATCGATTTTAAAGCTTGAAGCTTCTACGTTTTGCTGCGCATCGTTCACTTTCTCTTAACATATTTCTTTTACAATATAGCAGATGAAAAAGTAGAGACATGCTCTTTCTTGAAAATAGTACGGATCGATGCGTCTGTCGACGAATTGGAACGTTCTTCTTGTGACCAATCCTATCGTGCATTTGTAGCTGGAAGCCTTCCCGTTACGACAATTCCATAAATTTTAGTGTGCGAATTTTTTTCGCCACGTTTTATAAAGCTTTCGCCGAAAGACGGCCCACTGCCGATTTTGCAGCGATAAAACCTGCGACAGAAATATTCTCACTCGACAAATATACAATTTACCGGTAACCGCTATTTCTCGAAAATTGACTTTCATGTCCGGCATCCTTATCACGCGCTTTTAACGCGATATCGCTATCGCCTGGTCGACTTCGAGGCAAGGATCTGTCACGGTTCGAGCGTTCACGAAAACCGTGAGAGGTAAAAATCAAAATTTCTCTGGCACGAGTCGACAAAAAGAAAAAAAACGTGTAAAAACGAATAATTGATAGTCATCGCACGTCCGATGACTCGGGGACTCGTCGTTTCTACATCGAATCCGGTACTGGCGGTGCTTTTACGCTTTACGGTTGTTAGACCAGTGACACGCAACCAACGGAACCCAGGGGACGGACAATTTCACGTAGCCAACCATCGCTAATGATTAACCATTGTTGATGATTGGCCGGCTGTCGACCAATTCTTTTCACAATTTTCCCACAGTTGTTGTGCCCGGCGAGCTAATCGTGTCTCGAAATTTCTTCGGGACCCACGGCACTGCCTTTAATTTGTTAAAAGAGACATCGGGATTTCGAGCATTTTCGATATGCAATATAAAAGTTGATCGCCCGTGAGAAATCGAAGCGTCGAAGAGCAAACGCAACTGCGATAAGTGTAGCAGTGGCGTGCGTACCGGCTGGCGACGGCGACGCGTAATTAACCAAGATTGTGCACCACTGGAGCCCACAGTGGTGACTCATGCCCGTCGTACCCCCCCTACCATTTCTTTCTGCGTTTTCGTCGCTCCGTTTTTTCTTCATTTTTGCCATTCGCGTTCGTTACTTTTAGCATCTAGATGACTATTTTTGCGGGATGACATCTGCATTCCGCGCGGCTTCAGTCACCGCGATGAGGAATCGCGTTATCAAAGCGATCATGGCTAGCCCGCGGCTCCTTATCTCCTCACCGAATCACCGGCTTCGATCTCGAAAGCTTCCTAATTTCGCTGAAAAAAACCACGGATCTTCGCGCTGCACAAAGATCGCCGCGAAAACCCGTGCCGGATTTTGTCAGAGTAATCGACCTCTGAATACCGTTTTTGCTGCTCGGGCGTTCGACTGTTCTTTCTGTTCGCGGGAAACATTTCGAAATCTTTCGACACGAACGAAACGAAACGAAACGAAACGTCAGCGTCGAATTACTCCGCGAGCCCGATTAAATGCGCGACGTCTGCAACCGGCTCCAAAAAGAATGCCGCTTAGAAAACGAGTCAGCGTTCATCTTTCACCGGCTTCACGCCTCGCGGTTCTTCATTGTCGCGGCGAAAATACGCGGAAAACCGCGCGGAAACAGAGAAACCGAACCGTCGAATGAAAAGAAGATCGCTTTCAGAGATCGTTCTCGGAGGATTCGTCTCGCACCGGAAATACGCCAGGTCGTTGGTATTTCTGCGCGAGCGGCAACAGTTTTGCCCGTTTGAATTAGGTTGGCCAGGCGCCGGAAAATGTTCGTTTTCGTCGGAAAAAAAGCGGACGGCGGAGCAAGGAAATCGAGTTGTTCGCGAGCTGGTCGACGGAGCGGGTTCGAAGTCCAGAACCGGGCGAATGAGCGTGTACGCCAGTGGCTCCAGGAGAGCGTTTCGAGGGATACATGTTCCAACGGTGGGTCAGCATCGACAAGGCTGTGTATAGGTCCTTATATGGTAGCCGGTCGTATGGCTGTATATAGCGAGAGCTCGAAACAGGCCGAATACGCAACCGTGGAGCACGCTCCGCGTCCTTTACGTATCCCGCTCGCTTGAATATTTCTCTTCTCGGCGACGCGACGGCGCGTGTGGGAGTGCTTGTGCATCGTGCGCGCACCCATACACGTTACGGGAACACCATCGCGTAACGGTAACAAAACGAAGAGGAGATACCTCGGCGATTAGTCTCGTTTAAGGCCCGTCGATAATTTCCACTTTAATTATGGAACGAATTGGACGACGGGATCTGCTTAAGGATGGACGGAAACCCCTCTCTGTCGTTGGTGGGCCACAGATTCAACGCGCGTTTTCGTTACTTTTTAACTTCGCCCCGAGAAGCATCGGTTCCGTTAACGCCGTTAGAAATCGACGCGGGAAATTTGGTCTAGCCCATTTGGTCGACCCGACGAAAGAAATCCATTGGAGGAGTCGGGCGAGCGGAATCCTGCGGGGCTGCGAAGCGGCGGAAAGTCGGTCGATTTCACAGGAGCCAGAAAACCGTGCGCGCGGTCTCTCGCCGGGATTATCGCGCTTGTCGGGAGGAGAAATGAAAATGCTCGGCACGGCGTGCTCGGTTGTCGGGAGAAATCACGATGAATTCTACTTGATCTCGCGAGGAGAAACGAGGGCCGAGAGTTAATAAGGAAACTAGGTTGGCCGCGCGCTGACTCGTGCCGACTCGCGCTAGCCGGTTTGCAGGACGCGCGTTGGTGTAAGTACGAACGAGAGTTATACTCGTCGCGAAACAGCATCGGCGTACAACCACGGTGGATTCATTCGCGTTTCACGACTGGTCGCCTTGGAATCCGCGAGACTCGTCCATAAAACGGACTCTACGCCGGCGGAATTTCAATGTCGCGTCTCGTCGCCGATTCCCCGAGGATTCGCGTGGGATCGGCGATAGAGGTGTCGCGGATTTCGGGCCATCGAGCATCAGACTCGCCGTATTCCCGATACAATTCGGCTCGTCCTTTGGGCGAAGTCTCGGCCAGTCTAGGATCGGAGAAAGCGTAGGACGGAGGGTCCCGCCATTTTGTTGTCACGGAATTCTAGGCTTCTGCTTCGACGATCCTCGAGAATCTTACACGACGACCGCGTTTGGAACAGAAGCTCCGTTGTTCTGTTTTATTAATAGGGGCATCCGTGAACAGGCTACGCCATTTTGTTTCGTCGCGTTTCTAGCTTGCCGCACCGGCCTTTTGAAACACTTCCTACGACAAGGACGCCTCGACTACGGGCCCCGCTACTTCGTTTTCAGCGACGGTTGCACACCGTTTGCAATTTTCATACGAGCTCCCATCGTCCTTACACTTAGCACTAGGCATAGTGTCAATATTTAATCCGCCACAGCGGTGCGGAATACTGAATCGACAGATTCGACGACTCGGTTAAAAATGATCGTGGGTCGACGAGTAAAGCTCTCGGCATCGCGGGTCGAGATCGATCAGAGCATCGCCATGCGAGGGTCGTGGCATTGGATCTCTTCACTCACTAGGGCACTGATGCATAACTGGATTATCGAGCACGTCCTCCTGATTCCGCCGCGTCTTAACCTACCGGGCACTGGAAGCGTCGTTCTTTTCTAAGAACGACGAGACTGTATTCATTCGGGCTGCTCGCCATTTTGATTGCGCTCTATGCTTGAAGAAGATCCAATCGTCCCCTACGAAAGTCTCCTGACGATTTCAACAATTATAAAATAAACAATGTTAACCCTTTGCGGTCGAAGCTATTCGAATTCGAAATCCAAAACATGATTTCTGATCTACAGTAGTTCTATTTTATATAATTTATTGCGACTTATGCACATGAAACTGAGCCTGTTGACGAGTACAATGCAATTTTAATAGTTTCTTTTCAAGTAGAAACGAGTCCGATGCTCTTAGAATGATTTTGAAAAATGGTACACCAACTTTTGGTGGCGCTTCAGAGTCGCCATTCGAGTGCAAAGGGTTAAACCGGTCATTTCTTCGGTAGATTTGCCGTCCGCTGACCTTTCTACAGATCAAATTGCTGATCTAATTACGATAAATAATTACTCGTAAGTGGACTATTGATCTTCTAGATTTATGACAAAAATGGGTAGGTGAAATTGGGAACGGCGAGATGATCAAAGGAAACTAAAAACGTTCGTGTACTGTAATTTCAGCTTATTCAAATTATTTTTGAAACAAATAAAATTGTGCTTGGCTCGTTTGTCTTGTAATTGTGATACAGGCAATTCCCATCTCCCCATTTTAGGGGTTACCCGAAATCGTTGAAACCCTACAGCACTCTAAACTCGGATTCGCACTGAATTCAGTCTCGCCGGTGTATCAATGGCTGTTCGAAGCTGATCGATCGCGAGCGTGTATCCGGCGCGGCGGGTCGATAACATCGTCCGGTGATCGTCCAAGGGTTTCGGACATTGTGCCCGGTGGATCCTGGCTGGGCAGGAGAGAGAAAGAGAATGGAGGGGGGATCTTACGGATGACGGCTAACGAGTTCGCGCGGGCTGCCAATTAACTTGGGGTAATCGCGTTTAACGGAGAGACGAGGCGGAGACTCGAGAGCATGCAGCAGGCGTTCGGAGCGTTGCAGAGCGTTGCAGAGCGTTGCGGACCGGCCGCTCGGCGCGTGTATCGACCGGTGGGCTGCAGTTGGCCACCTACGTGCACCTAATACCCACGTAAAATCGTGCACAGCTCGCACAGCGTGCACCTAGAAAATGCGTTGCGATCATTTAGTGTCGCACTCCCGCCCTAGGCGAACGCGATATCGTCGCCCTCTCTCTCTCTCTCTCTCTCTCTCTCTCTCTTACCCTTCCTCCTTCCTTCTCCCTCTCCCTCTCCCTCTATCCCTCTCCCTCTCTCGTTCTGTCTTCCTCTCTTTCTCTGTTCGATGCGACCGTGACGGCTAACGAACCCTGGACGCCGGGAGTATCGTATCGAGCGGTGGCGCGAACGTTCAGGAGCGTATTACGTGTTACCAAGCGGCTCATCCGAGCCCTGGACCCGATTCCATCGAAACTCCCGACTGTTTGTCGCCCCGGTAATGCTCCGACCTCTATATGCTGTAGAGTCCTACCACAGAATCCGCAGGACGTCGGTTCGAATCCGTAATCGTTAGGCGACGAACGGCCCGAAAACGAAGGCGTGACGTTGCGGGTGAAACAGTTGCTTCAAGGTTCATGGCCGCGTCTTTGTCTTCCGATTCTCGGACCGCCGACTTTGCAAGTGGCCTGATTTCCCTACTGGCAGCACACGTTTCAACCCCCAATATTATAATTCCAATATCTTGGAATCGCCGATTTCATAAATTTCGTTGAAAGATCCCGGATAAATCGTGCGATTTGAGGCGAAGAAGAAAGATAATAAAATATGAACACGGCACGCGGTATTTTCGGCCGGCCATCCAAGGCCACGGTCCCGTTTACGTTCAGGGCAGGGTCGGGGAGCCTGTCGTCCCGGGCAAATATTGGAACGGTCCACGCCCGAAACGGATTCGTCATCGGACGATCGACGCGATGCGATAAATTACGCCAGGACAGAGAGCGGGCAACCCTTCAGCGGTCAAGTTTTCGCGAACCAGCGCCGCTAGGCACACGAACGATGAATGAAGCGTTCAAGAGAGAACCCTTTGACCCAATCTCGTAGATTGTAGATTGCTTTCGCCATTAAGGCTGCCCGGCGACGAGCAACATCCTGGCCGCAGCACTTGACGGCGAACGCAAGGGTGCGGTACAGTCCTGCGCAACAGTTCGCGAATCCTGCGATTCCAAGGGCTCCGGAATCCTCGGGACCTTGCACTTTGCTTCGAAAGCAGAGCCGGCCATTATTCGGACACAAATATTGAAATCGATCTTCATTCACGCGAGATATATAATAATATTATAATAATATAATATATATAATAATAATATAATAATCTAATATATATAATAATATTATAATAATATAATATTATAATATATATAATAATAATATAATAATATTTCTTATGGCAGAACAGCGCCATCACTGTTTCTGTCATTTCTTTTAAACTGCAAAGCCTATGCGATAGTTCGTTGCTTTATGTACAGAATTATGCGAATTGCATCGACCGATGCACCAGTTTCCCCGTCGTTCAATCCTGCGGATTCGAACGTGCTAATAAAATCATTTGCATTGCATTAAAAGCCGCGCAAAGCCGTCGCCGGGTTGCTTATGTTAATTTAAGGAGTTGCAAGTTATACGATCAGATTTAAAAAAAAGAAAAATGACCATAACCTTCAACTATTCTCTACTTATAAAAATGATAAGGACTTGTAAAGATTGAACACTGGCCCCTAGGTAGAACTTGTCAGAGCGAATGCCGTTGCTTCGAGATTCGAAACGGGTACGGTATTTTTCTACAGGCAAATGTGAATGAAACGAACGGGTGTGTGTGTGCGTGTGTACGTGAGGGGTTGCACCGGGGGAGCGGTCGACGGGTGGCAGACGGTTTCATCGATTGGCAATGCGGGGGTAGAAGAGTGGGGTTCGTGAACTCCACAGCTATCTGTACATATACAATACGTATGCATACACACATATATATATATATATATATATATATGTATAAAGATAGCATATAATGCCTAGGAACATGCACGTATGGGTGCACGCTACTCCGTAACCGTATCCGGGGCCGTATCGACGACCCAGAGTTTTCATGGTCACGGGTAGAAAAAAAAGAAGAAGAAGAAAACATGAGATTTTCAATATTCCGCGTGGGTCTGAACCGCCATCTTTTCTTGCTGATACGCGACGCAGTACGAATCAGGTAAATAGAATTCGTAGAATACTTATTCGAAAAGTCCTTCTCGCTCGCCTTGAAGCGAGCCAACTCGTTCGGGACATGATAAGATGCAAATACTCTTCGCAGACTCTCCCTCGGACTTCATAGAAAAAAAATAGAGAGAATACATGTATTCGATCGAGAGCGAAAATAGCATTTGGAAAATTACCCACGATCATGAATAACGCTTCTCCTACCAGGAGTGACTTTAACAGTGTCTTGAGATTAGAGACTGACGCGAATACGAGCAGCTTATTAAACTTCCTTCTTCTAGACGACTGTATCGTGATCGGGCGTATTTGCATAAAATCTAAGATTCCGATTAGAAAATTAATTGATTGACTAGGGGTATAAAATGAGGTGAAAACACAGGAGGATCTTTTGACGAGGGTTAAGAACCGTCACATCGGGTTCCGCGCGATCCCTGTTTTCGCAAATGGCCCCCGAAGATCGCGGATGTTGCGCAGCAACTGGGAGGTAGCATCGGCAAACATTAAACGTCGAAAAGAACGTGGCAGAAAGCTTGTTTCGTCTTTCTTCTAATCACGATGAAATGGAGAAAAATCGTGCGATCCTAACGGACAAGACCGCGGCTCGCCGCTCGGCAACGAGAAGCGCATTTGCACGGCTGATGCGCAACGGTGTGCATCTGTCAAAACCACGCCCTTGTCCAATCCTATCGCCCTAACAAGCTGGATACGGGAACGCGGTCGGTAAGGACGATGTCCCCGAAATTTTATAATCTCCGGAAATCCTCTGCTGCCTGAATTTGAGTCAGTTATTATGGTATCCACTTCATCGAGATCTGTACGAGTTCCCTGTGCGATAGTTCGAAAGGAATCTGTCACTGTAACTTCCGGTTTCGCCCTACGCGTTCAAATCTTTCCCGAGCAGAAACGAAGGACTGCACTGCTCGCGAATTAGCCGAAAGATTCGATTTCCTTTCTCAAAGAATCGTGCGAATTTTTAATCGAAATCAATTAGAGCCAAGAAGAAACGAAGCTATAACATTCTCACTACGATAGAACCGAAGAACGAGGTCTTACCTCCTAGTTTTCGCTTCGACAAATTCATGAATAACAGCGAAAAGATTGCGCGAACGTTTCCGGCCCGGTGAAATCTGCTCGAGCCGACATAAGATTCGGGATACACACAGAACGGGTACAATGATCTGACCACACCCCACCATTTTCGATCTTTGAATGCCGAAGTCGATCAATATCGAGTCGAGTCGAGAGCGTGTCGCGAAACCGGTCGATTCCCTGGTTGACGGTGGTATACGTAGGGACGAGCAAATATCTCTACACGATCGAACACGATTATTGTGTTCGCGACGACGAAAACACATACGCACATGCACGCATCCAGATTCTGGATTCCAGAGTGTAGCCGTAGGCCTCTACCGTAGTGTAGTAGAGCCTCTCTTCGAGCGCTCGAAGGAAGCCGATGGTATCCGCGTACCGTCCGCGAAACGCTTCTTCTGGCGCGAAGAAGAGCGTCCAAATTCGCATGCAATTTCTAGCGAACGAGATTGGAATGTGTCGCGGCAAGGAGCACTGACCTGTCAGTTGACACTACGAGAGGTAGGCGAGCGCAAAGAACACCGTCCAGCCGAGCGTTCAAGGGCAGGAAGGAGACAGCACACTGACTGACCGGCTAGTGATTCTGTGGCACGTAACACCAGGTAACACCGGCGAGCCACTCTACCACTCTTGCCTCCGTCAATCCTACGCCTGCACTGTACCGTCCCCCCCCACCCGAATTCCGACCCCGACGGCACAACCAATCGTAGTCCAGCATTCATCCCTCCCCCGTCGGTGAATCTCTCCCACCGACCCGCGAACGGTTCCTCCAATCGTCTCCTTGACCGTCATCGGAGGGTGGCTGACTCACCCTTCGCGACGGAACACGATTTCACATTCGATGCACGAAAAAAGAAGTCTCCGCGTTAAGCGTGAACTTGCTTTTTACGGATCCTCTCCGGTTATTGAACTATATTTACGTACCGCTCCTATTCCATGTATATTCGGAATCTCTCGAAGTTTCCAACCTCCGATTAGTCTCGATGAAAATACTTCTGCAGCTATTTCTGGTGAGACATGGAGACCGGGGCTAAAGGACTTTCAGGGGTGGACGTTCCGTCTCAAATGACTCATCGGGTAGTTATCCCAGCTGCGCGTCATATGGCCGTTCCGTTGGGTGTTTCCTGTATGTAGTACTTTGAAATCATATGGTCTCCTCGGGTGTATTGATCAGATTGCAAGGGAGATTCGGGAATTTTGTAGTTGTATTGTTTTCGAGTTATTTATAGTATTCAAGATAGCAGACGATTCGACTGAAAATTTACTTAACTGGAAATACTACATATACATGTTCTCTAACGTATATAATTCTTTGATGAAGTGAAACAACGGAACCGGAGCCGCGATAATGTTTCACAACTGGACTGAGTTACCAATTGACGAACTAATGCATTTAAACACGTTGTCTTCTATGCCAGCAAATATGTCGATGTTACAGGTAACATAGGAATTGTTCTTTACTCGTACCGATACAATTTCATTCGAGCGAACCCTGTAGACAAAGTATCGGAATAGCCTGATCACCGTATGGGGTTTCTTCACGAACGAAATATAAGAATGGACCTACCAACCTAAGGGTTTCTGTAGTTTAAGAATTGTCAGTCCCTCGAACACTTTACACATTTTCCTCAAATTCCTTTTTATATAAAAAAAATTTAATCTTTTCTTGTATATTAGATACATTAATCTTAGGATTCCATCGCTGTACAATGTGTAAGAAAAATAATAGTCCGACTCGTTTAAACGAAATACAAAGCATCACGCATTCGTATATCAGTAATCATTGCACTTGTGGTCATTGAAAAGTGTTCTTTTCTTCCTCTTGACCTAATGAACACTCGATGCCTTGTTGCGTGACAAAAACGTTCTGTGTCTTCGACGCCAGATTTCCCTGTAACCGTATTATTGATTTAATTGATAATGTTTGTCCATCTATATAATTACACAAGATATTCTAGACCATAATAGAGTATGCTCTATCGAATGGTAACATTTTTCACCACAGCTCTGTTTTAATAGGAATAGGCGAGTGGTTTAGAGCACCCTTTGCATTTAAAAATGATATACATGCCTGCGACATCGTAGTTGTAGAAGTATGACTGCTATTCGACATACATACGACCACTAATTTAGTACCACCACTCTGTATGTGGGCCTTCTGTTGAACGACATTTGTCTGAGAAATTATAACTTGTTGCTGCTGTGATTGCTGTTGCGTTTGAGACGGTTGTTGTTGCTGTTGTTGTGGTGGTTGTATGGTACAAGTTGCGGTCGGTGTTTGTGATCGCGATTGCAAAATTACAAATTTTTGTCCACCTCCTGTGGTAGTACCACTAGGGGTTCTACTTGTGCCCAGCATTATTGTACGTCCAGTTTGTTGACCAGGACTAGAACTCGTCACTTGTATGAAAAATTAAAAAAAAAAGAGGGAAGGAAGTATATATAATTCAATTCCCTGACGCAAACAGTGTTGTTTCGAAGAAAGTTAAAAATTACCAGCTTGCATGATGGTCTTTCCTGTACAAGTTGGACCTTGTTGACTTGTTGTCAAAGCTGTTGTTGTAGACGCAGTTGTTGCCAACGTCGTCGGTTGGGTGCGAGCCTTCACAACTGCTGCGCATAATGCTGGTCCTATGTAACCATAATCTTGTTTGTAATCTTCTACATAATCAGGCGGGGACCGTATAGTTTTTAAAACAGGAGCGACAGATTTCTGGAAATGAAGCTCACGTCGAAGTACACACAGGAGGAGTTTAATTAACTATATTCTGCTTACCACAAGTAGAGTTTTAATGTGACCCGCTCCGTTTTTATCCACGCTTGACAAACCCGACCCCTCGATACACGATTCTATACGCTCAGAAATGGACTTAATCTTCGGAATAACCAACGCTTTTATCACTTCCGGACCCAACTCGCATAATCCCTCGATCGCCCCATAAAGTGATGCTAGTGGGGTCTAGAAATGAATCAATCGATAATTATTATTTCCACCTTTTATAGTCATAGGATAATTTTCAATTCTATTGAAATTGAAATTGTTTCACCTGATTATTCTTGGCCAATGCTTGACCGAACATTCTGGTCACACGTGTCTGTACATTATTCGTGGACGTATTAAAATTTTTACATATTTGAGCCATAAGACGCGAAGCAAAATCGCGCAGTGCCCAGTGATTGTCGACATCCGGTCTCATACATAATTGCCGCGATACTATGCAAGTAGCGATAGACGGTATCAATTCATGTAACTGTAAATTAAAAGAACATATAAATGGACGCTTGTTGAACCTCCTATGAAAAAGAGATTAAAATACTTACATATTTCTCTAAATAAAGGCTCGGATTGTCCAAAAGAGCTTTAACCATTCGCATTAGATAAATTAGAAGTGCAAGATGATTTTGTACAACATTCACACGAACTCCTTCAGCAATAAAGGTACACATGCGTGCCAGCATTTCATGTAAACCAGGATCAGCGGAAAGAGATTGTAACGCTTCTGCTCTGCGCGCTTCATCCGATCCGACGCAGGCTTCGGTAATTTCTTTATAATACAATTGTTGCTCGACGCTCAATTCGTGCGTAGCTAATTGTTTAACGTGAACAGTTTCCACATTACGTAATTTCTGACTCTTGCCTCCACCTCCTGGTTTCCCAACACCAATATTTTGGTTCTTGTTTGAGAGTTTACTTGTTGGATCGACGCTTTCCAATTTTTGTACGTCTACAATGGAATTGGTAAAAGTAATAATATCAATGAAAAATTAACACATCTATATTATAGTTTAAAATTGTTACCTTTAGAGACTGGAGGTGGATTTTCTGGTATTGTGGGCTGAACACCATCTATACAGAGCCAATGACTACGCAGTGTAATCTCTAATGGCAATTTTGGCCATGATTGCCCACCTGACATTGATATAACTTCATTCAAATCAATTTCTTTTTCTTCCACGAAATGTAATTCTCTACCACCACCAGAAGCAAACCGGAAAGGTACATGATCCTTGGCAAAAAATCCATATGTTGGTTCAATATTCTTAATTTTTAGAGCACAATCTATGTCGTGAGTAGTCATACGTTGACGTTTACCATGTCTCATAAATTTGGCTGCATCCTAAATATGAGATAATATTGTTTAATAGAAAATTTTGGTTTCAATTAATACTTAGGAAATACACTTACCTGAATGATTTCCTTAAGTCTATAGCTTACATCTTCAGCAAGATCTTTGGCAGCTTCGTCAGGAAAGTTTCCAACACCTATGCTCTCTGCGATTACCTTTATTGATTCTTGGGACAATGTAGTCCCATAAACAGATTCACTTTCGCTCATTTTCAGAGTATTCTGGTCATCGCAGTCCATATAATACACTCTAAACTTATACTCTAAACTTTTGTAATTTTGGTTTTATATTCATTATATCAATATGATTTATGTCGTGTAATTGATTAACAACATAATTACACAATTATTTGATTTTAGAAACTTTGAAATCCGTTCTCCTGTCAAATACAAAAGAATACGATCATTTAAACTTTAAATACTTTGTTTCTTAAAATGCTAACCTCAAAACAAGTCTACTAATGCAACAGTTCCAGTCTGTTCCAGTTTTCTTCGTCACTCTCAATTGCTCTCAATCACTCTCTGCGGCATGCTGCTGTGATACATAGATAGCAGGGTTGTGTTGTGGCCAGGGATGCTCTCACGTTTGTGATTGGTCATGTCATGTCGCATCGATCGACTACGCTGCCCTCTACCCCTGCTCTTTCGAACTGCTCATCCATGATGTCACGAATGAAGTCATGTGGTATTTGAAGGAATGACCGTATTCATGGATGGTAATGGCAATTCAATAATACTGTATGCATGTAGGTCGTGTGTATAATATATGTATGTACATAATTCTTAAATTCTAAAAAAATGGCAGATTTAATGAAATGGCCAGTTTTTAATTTGCTAGAACCAGAATTTATACAACAGATCCGACTGGTTCTCATATATGGTAATATTAAATTTTGTTACTTGCAATAGTATGTAAAACGTTAGTAAACGTACTTTAATATTCAATTGTATTACCAGATGAAAAAGTTTGCAACCCTTTAATCGTAACAAACCATCACAACATATTTACACTTTCTTATAATTCTGGAAATTTCATACCACAACAAATTAAAGCAGGACACAGCTTACTTATTAAAACCGTAGCATATATGAAGGGACCATATATTTTTATACTCACATTTACAGGAGAGGTATTTCATTATAATAATAAATATTGAATAATGCGCTGTATTAAATATTACAATAATTAATAGGTATATCTAATTGATAAGGACGACTACAACAATGATGGATTTATTTCTGAGCAATGCAAACTGGCAAAGATGAATCATGTATTTTGCAATGAAATGATAGAGGATATAGCCTGTGGAGAAACTCATTTTTTAGTAGTAACATTTTCTGGAAAGGTAAACAATTTTCTTAATTATACCAATGTAATTATAAGAATTTATAGATTGTTTTATCATGTTTAGGTTTATGAAACAATAATTAATGATTCTGCATTTGAATCTGTAACTGAGGATGCTATTAACTTAAATAATAGAATAGTTTCTATTAGTTGTGGAAGTGAATGTAGTGCAGCAGTCACAGACGATGGAATGATTCATATTTGGATTGATGATTCTGACATAACCACAATTACGGAACTTACTACAATAAGTATGAATAACATCTAGAGGTATAAGTAGACTAGTAATAGATAATTTTACTTGCAGATAAAATAGTTTGTGGTTATTTGCATTTTATGGCATTAAGTAATGAAGGTGATGTTTATACTTGGGGTTCAAACATTTATGGACAGTTGGGTAATGGCACATATGTAGACAGCAGTAAGCCAGAGAGGGTAAATTGTTAATAATTGTTTATATGTTGTTAATAAATGTTTGAACTCTTCATTAATATTATTAAAAACCATTTCAATTGAAGGTAAAACAAATAACAAACGTGGTGGATATAGCAACTTCCAGTAACCATGACATAAGTATAGCAATGGGAGAAGGCAATCTTATTTTTATATGGGGTTCTTGTTTAGGACAGAATATCAGTGTGCCAACTCCTACAACTTTGAGCTCCATCCATGATGCTTTTGCATGCTATGCCTCACCAAGAATTATGCATCAGCCACTTGTTAATAACTGCAATTTTAATCTGCTCGATTCTCTAAGAGACGCATTTAACAATGAAGTATGTATTTGAATATAATGCGAGCATTCACTTTTTAGACACTATTCACTGAATTCTTTTATGTATTTTAGGATACTAGTGACCTTACTATTAAATTACATGGAAAATCTGTACATGTACATAAATCTATATTGATACTTCGTTGTCAGCACTTTAGAAAAAAATTTCTAGAAGATCCTGTGTACAATTCTGCGAGACAATGCATATCTATGTTAGTTCGTGTAATATGAAAAATTGTACATTGTTTAAAATTATTTTAAAGTTTGTGCTATTCTCCATCAATCATTTATTTCAGTGATAATGAGATGTTCTCATACAACGTGTACAAAGCTTTCCTGGAATATTTGTATACTGACAAAATTAATCTGCCTCCAGAAGATACTTTTGGTAAATATATAAATTTTTCATTGTGGATAAATTTTGATTATTATATTCTTTTATTTCCACAGAACTGTTACAATTGGCTGATTATTATTCCATGAATCAATTAAAGAAATATTGTAAACAAACAATATATAAGAATATTAAAGTGAAAAATGTACTGAATGTGTACAACTTAGCTATTAAATACCATGCTAAGGTATATTCTTATGAATGCTTTGCATAATGTTAAAATATATTATACATGTAGTATCACACATTATATTTACTATACCATTTTTTAGGACTTGGAAGATTATTGTTTTAAATTTGCTTTAAGAAACATGACAGCAGTGATAGGAACCCCAAATTTCGTCGAATTAGATGGATCCATAGCCAAATACTTTATGATAAAAGCTGCTGAAACAAATGGATTTCGAACGTAACTTATAAATTAAATTATTACTTATTACTGTAATTATTAATTACTACTAATAAGTACTTAATCAAAGAATCTGTTAATTAAAGACTGTTTTCAAACATTTTCCAACACAATTTCGTTTATCTATTTAATTCCTTTCATGTAAGTGATCTTTCTTGTTTTTCATTTAAAATACAACGTAAATTCCAACGTAAAATACAACGATCATTTGTTCTGATCAAATTTAAATTTAGTGTCATTACACGTAGTGGTAAATCGCTTAAACTAATCAGCAAAATTACCATCAGATGATTTTGGACAATAGTTTCAGCATTTTGCCACTTACTAATTGGTGCTGTACGTACCTCGAACGGAGCTTCTAGCTTTCGCCATAAGAGGCGCCGTTATCACCCAAATAAGAATTGGTTCTTGCCGGATTTAAAATTAACCTTTTAAAACAAGGTTTTAAATAAACCTTGTTTGCCTGATATTGGTGCAGGGGAGTCTCTTAAATACTTTCATGCTCACAAAATATTTGATTAATATCTAAATTGGCAGACCCCATACCACTTTCCACACGACGAGAATTATCCATAGCTGTAACAAACATTCAATTTTCTTTATATTTATGACAATAAATAGGCATAAAAGGCGCAGTCTAGTAATTATGGCAATCTGTGCTATTGGTTCGATGCATAAAATCATTATAAGTACATATTTTGAAGCCAGAGCTATTCATTTTACGCCGCTGGCTATCAAGATACATACCTCTTTCCTTTATATAAAAAATTATTTTAGGCCTTCAATACCATATTTTAGTCGTAGCGATAATAAAGAAAATGTAGAGATGTAGTTCAGTTGTCCGGTGTATTTAATTATCTGACACTGTCTCAATTCTGAGCAGACCGGATAGTTGAAATTCTACTGTAATTCAAAAATTCAAATTAAATTTCGCTCTCTTTTGGAAGTACCAACTGTTACAAGTGTCAAAAAAATGGCACTAAAAAGAGTTTCGCAGAATTTAATAGAGCCTCGATTTTATTCTTCGAGTAAAACGAAATCCAACAAATATGTGTATAAATGAATGCATAGAACACTGCAATATGACCTGTTGTTCCTTGACTTTAACGATATTATAAATCGTTGGTTTCGAGAAGCGTTTGAACTAGCCCTAAAATCTCCGCCATTGATCGGCCGCGACTATAAACCGGCGAGGAAGGTGCGCGCTCTCAAGATCCCTCAATATACAAACACCGTGGTTCTGTTTGCTGTATTCCACGCCATGACTAAAATTTGTCGGAAGAGTAGGAGTGCAGTAGCAGTGACAGGTCAAACGGCTAACAGCGAGATTACTTAATATTCGCTCGATACGAGACGAGGATTTCCTTCATCACGAAAACGCCTCGAATTTTCTCTTCGGCACTTGGTTTTTCTGTTTCGGGAATTATCGTTTCACCGCGGAAATTCGGTGTTTTCATCCGAATAGCAGAACTTAAGGAGCAAGAGGAGAGCAAGCGCAGGGAAACTGAAAAGAATGGAGGTTGGTCGCGATTTATTATTTCGAAATTATACGACTGTATGATCGATAACACTGTATACGACGGAAACGCGCGATGTATACTCTGTGTCACGTTACTCCAAAGTCCGCTAACTCTTCTCTCTCTAATGCTCATAATTTCAATCGCCAAGGATAATTCAATCGGATAATTGATTAATTAGATAATTAGTCAAGATACGTTCCACGCGCAGTCAGGCATTTTTCATATCCTGTTCAAACTCTTTGTTTTTTATATTACCTGCATTCTTTTTAATAATACTCATGTATAATGAACATACTATTCATTGAATATGTCTGTAAGTTGGTAATAAACTAATCAATATTTATTTGCTACGTATATAGGTTGATGAATGTTCAGCTGGGGGAGACAGTGGAGCAGAAGAAGATGAAGAGGATGGATCTTCTCATGGATCCAGGAGCAATAGCAGTAGCAGTAGCATCAGTGGAAGTAGCACGTCCAGTGACAGTGGTGATGAAAGTGGAGAAGAGCATGGTTCTAGTGGTAGCGAAAGCCATAGTTCTGGGGACGATGAGGAAGATGAAAATGACAATACAGAATACTCTGTTAAAGCAGAGAGTCCAGATACATTGGTAGAATCTATTAATTTTTCAACGACTATATAATTGTATGTATACAAGGAAATTATTATTTCTAGAAGTGGGAGACTTGCATTGTTGCAAATACCAAAGTAAAACTACCACAAGATCTCTGTGAACACACTGTAATTTTTAAAGAGTTTTTGGATTATCCTTATATATGGAATGAATGCCTAACCGAGAATCAGAGAGAGACTCTCTGTAACCTGTTACCTACGTTCCCAAAGGATTGTGATGTAGAATTAGAAACAGAGAAGACTTTGCGCATGTTGTTTGATAATGAGAATCAAAGGTGTGTTGAAATCTTTGATTGAAACCATTTTTTAAACGTTAAACATCTAAATTCATTCGCGTTTATTCCAGATTCGGCGTGGCACCGTTAGAAGCGTTCCACAGTCATTTGTCTGCCGGACATTACCGACCAGACATCAGAAGAATGTGCAGCTTGGTCCGCAAAGCGCAACAGAGAAGATTGTTATTCGAAGAACGGAAACGGTCGTACGAACTAGCGAGCCAGCTGTTAAAATCTAGGGAGAGTTTACTGTCGAACGCGTACAAGCAAGGCTTTTGTCAGCCAGCGCAGAGGACAATGTCGAAGATCCACTGGAGGAAGCCGAAACCTGCAATGGGTAAGTGAAGCTACCGCTGTGAACGGATTGTCAAAAGTTTTCTGGCTGTTTATACTTCCCCCACACTACAGCCGTTTGGCAGTGAAGTATGTAGTAACTTCCGAGGGACAATACTAACAAGCAATGCACCGACAGTTGAAGAGAAGACACAACTGCGCTATTTGGAGGAACTGAATGCGCTGAGGACCGAGCTCGGAGCGATTGCGAAGCTAGCGGCTGACACCACGTCTGAGAATGAGGAGAATTATCCGTACTATCAGCTCTTCGGGGCAAAGCAGAAGAAGAAGAGGCGATCCCTCATGGGCGCACAAGGCCTGTCCATCAGAGGCCTACAAATGAATCATGATGACGAGACAATCCGACCTGTGTTCTCCACGCTGCAACGGGCCGAGTTCCCAATGAACAGGTCGTTCTTCATTCGGGAACAGACTGAGGAAATTTACCGTGAGATGCTGCTCGAGCACAAGAAGCGTCGGGCACGCCGCGACGTGCGTAGCATAACTGTTCTTCTATGTATATTATTCTATATATTCAATTTTATTGGATAATTTTCGTTTCAGATTCACCCGGAGCTGAACACTCAGGGTATCGCACTGGCAGACCTAACTCAGAGAGCACAAATTGGCCAGAAGCACAAATTGTCCCTCGGACCATCAATGCGAATGACACCCGCAAAGAAACGAATCAAATTGGAACAATCTTCGCTTTGTCCACCCGCGCCAAGATTAATTAACTCGAACTCCATAAAACATGAGAGCGACAATAGCGATTATTCTCACACGACTGACGATAATAGGCATTCCAGTGTATTGGATATGGAACACAGAATGTTGACACCGATTAAATCGGAGCCTGTGGATGCGTACGAAGTGCATCAGATGTCGAAAAAGAAAATGTACGTTTGTTATTATTACATTTTGTATTATGTAGAAGTATTCTTGGATATGAAGATAATTATAAGTGTCTTTTCATTTTTGTAGGAGTCCACCTACATCGAAAGGCAGCAAGTCATCCATAATGTCGACGCCAGAAATTAAGAAAGAAGTTGAGGACATGGAATACGAGGATATTAAAACGGAGCTGAGTAGTGGAATGAATGAGGAGATGCCCACCGAGATGGAGGAAGACGAAGAGAATGATAAGAAGGAGCTTGATTTAGACAGTATCGATATGATGCAGATACCTATCCAACTCGACGATGGAATTGACATATTAGACGATGTGAAGTATGTATTCTTGTGTCAGCGTACGATTAAGATTGACGTCTTTATCTGCAACGTTGCTTTAGATGCGAAGACGAAGGTGTTATGTCGATATCAGGCAAGGAATTGAATGTTCCGACGAGCGATGAAGCTATAGATATCAACAGCGGAGCAGAATTGATGCAGGAAACACATGCTTGTTTCTTCTCGCTTCTGAGGGACGCTTTCACTTCGAAGGGCGAGTTTAGAATGAGCGGCATCGAGATGAAAGATGCTGTCACTCTGTGGCAAGGAAATCCTATTTCACCGTTGAACGACTGGTCAGCGTCATTGATAGACATTTGTCCATGCTTACAGCTAATTACTAACTGTAAATGCTTGTTAACGCAGGTACTCTATGGCGTCATCTTGGACTGCACTGGTTCCATTAGCCTTGGGCTTTCTCGCAGGAGAGTATATTTACTCTCAAGATGTGAGCGACCGTCAGGAACGCGAACCAGAGCTTGTACCCTACCTAGAAAACAAAGGAAACGGAGTTTACGCGTGGATTGGTGCTGGCCGAGATTCAGACTCACGGTTATCGGATCTGTGTGCGAAATTTTTAATGCACAAGTAAGTTTGTACATCAAGAAGTACATTCTTACATTGTCTAGTATTATTCTATGGGTGATACGATCTTAAAGAAAATCACTTTCGTATAGGGATTCATTGGGTCCGCCAACGTCTACTGCTGCTACTTGCTCCGTGGTAACCGTGAAGCAACAACCCCAAGTAGCTCAGCTTAATTGCAATCATATTAACAATAATTCCGGCAACGGAAATACTACAGTAAACGTTAGAGCTAATAGTCCTGCAATAGAGTCGATCAACGTTGATGGGGGATCCATCAACACAGTGGCTGAATGGGAACCACCGCGGGCCTTGTGGCCCACCGAATGGAAAGTTCGATCTTCCACCGCGGACGAACGTGAAGAATTCAGGAGACAAGAGCGTATGCGCTACGCTGCCCCACATAAAGCATTCACATATAGGATGCACGGGTATGCATCCGTCGTAGGTCCTGTCAAAGGCATTTATCAGCATAATGTCGGTACGTTTAATTAAATAACTACGCTAAAGTTAAAAATATAAAATATTGATTTATACTTGAGTCCTTTCATAGCTTCAGGATTGACTAAGGCTCGCGGACACTCGTTACTGGTAGCTGACCGTCCAAACTTCGTGACGATTCTAGCACTGGTCAGAGACGCCACTGCTAGGTTGCCTAACGGCGAAGGAACTCGAGCCGATATTTGTCAGCTACTGAAGGATTCACAGTATATCAGAGAACAAACAGACAGCGACGACAAGGAAGGATATTTGCACTCAGTCGTGTCCGGTGCCTTGGACAGATTGCACTATGAAACGGACCCTTGCGTGCGATACTATCCGCGACGCAAGGAATGGCTGTATCTTCATCGAGCACGTTCAGAATCTGAATTTGGTTTGTATTTACAAATATTAAGTTTATGCGGTTTTGGACAAAATATATCATGCCGTTGTGTGTTCACAGAAATGTACCATCAACAATTGCAAGGAGTTGCAAAGAATAAGAAGAACGTGGGCAGCATGTCCCGGAACAAAGCTCTGCCTCTAGTAATGAAGCCTACCAACATCAACAAAGAGCAATCTCCGAGCAACAGCAAAGAGTCTACGCCCAAGAAAGAAAGAAAAACTACAGCTAGTGCGCAACCAGTTATTTCCAGGTTAGTTTCAAGATATATTTTCTTCCAGAAGCTTATTCTATCGCATCATTGTCACATCATTTTACAGGAAGGAGCAAAAGAAGATCGAGGAGAAGACGGCCAACGAACATTGCGTTTCCACCGAGCAGTCCATTGTTACAAACGTGACGACGACAACAACTCCTGTAATTAGTGCCGTAAGCGCTTCTGTCCCTGTCACGTCTCTTCCCAGTTCTTCTGCCTCGATCAGTACCGTTACCGTTGAAAAGGAAATTGCAACGAATGAAGTGAAACCGCTGATCACTACGACAGCTCCAGCTAAGAAGGTGGCCAACATCGGAGGGAAACCGGTTGCTGTGGTCAAGACCAGCGCACAAAGTTTGCTGCAGTCTAACCAGCAACACTTTCCTCATCATCAGATCCAAGTGTCCACTTCCGCTGGTCTGCAAACTATCAGACTGTCGGGACACTCTGTGCTGCACTCCGCTCAGTCCGTTGCTGCGAGTAGCACCTCCAGCAATTCCACCAACGTAAACACAAACTTGACTACTATATTCCCTCCTGCCAAGGTGCAGAACCAGCAGCAACAGCAACAACAGCCGCAGCAGCAACAGCAATCGCAGACTATCGTGGCGAACCAAGGAGGAAAGAGCATTTTGCAGACTGCGAATATAAAGCAGCAACAATCTCAGCAGCAGCACGTTCTACCCGGAAAGACTTTGCTAGCTTCTCAGATCAAATTAGTTAGTTCAGGACAGATTAAGTCACTACTCACAGGTCACGGTCTCCAAGGTCAGACGATATTTATCAAACAATCATCACCGTCTGGAAATCAACCGCAGCAACTGCAACAGCAGCAGTTGAAGGTACTGAATTGCACATGATTATCCTCTGTGATACAATATCTTTAAACATACTGATTGTGTTCTAGCAACAACAGCAACAGCAGCAGCAACCGCAGATTCAGCAACGGGTTGTAACCAGTCAGCAACAATCACTGCAAACGTCCGGTATGCAGCGTATAATTGCTCAGATTGGCGGGAAACCAATCGCTGTACAGATCCAACAATCACCGCATCAGCAACAGCAACAACAACAGCAAAAGATATTGGCCAAAGTCCTAACAAGTTCAGGAGGCGGTCAATTAATATCCGTGGAGAGCCTTCTTGCCCAAAAGGGGCTAAAGCTGGCAACAACTGCCAGTCATGCGAATCAGCTTAACAGACAGGGGAAGCAAGTCATGACTCAATATCAGGTACAAACTTGAATTGTTTCCTTGGCATTAGAACCACCGCTTAAAGGGTGGACCTCTTAAAGGATCTGATACATTTGAATGAACTTCCCAGGTTGTATCACAGGCGCAAACGTCGTCGGGGCAATCGAAAATCATTGTAAGCACTCAACAGTCCCAGCCACAACAAGGCCAGACAGTGCGAATGGTCACAGCCCAGTTGGCTGGCAAACCAATCGTCTTAGCCAGTGGCAATAAAAATGTCGGAGTCGGTGTAAGCAGCAGCGGAAGCGTGGTGCTCGGCAAGCAGCAATCGTCACAGCAGCAAACGCAGCAACAACCGATCATCCTGCCGAGTCAACTGCTCAATATCAAGACCTTGCACGGCTTGAAGGTCATACCAACGCCAGCAGGCCTGAAAACCACTGGCGCTGCGGTTTACGCGCGAGTGATAGCGCCGACGACGATAACCTCGACCCAATCGACGGGAAACCAACAGCAACAAACGATACAAGCACAACAGCAGCCAAGGAACAGTCCTTACAACACACCCTGACAGAATTGATACTCATTCTTCTTTGTTTCATTACATATTCTTTGTTTAGTTGAATTGCGTGGGGTAATTTCGGTATTTGAAGAGGAACTAAAGCACGACACCCATGTAAAAAGCAGTGTAAACGTATAGGCAATGTTCGTGCGTACAGTTTCCAAGGAAGCGAGATTCTTCGAGATCGTAACATGACGTAGTAGCGAAGCCAACGCTAAATAAGTACACACGTGGGTCATTGACCTTGTTTTCTATTAAGTGACGGATTATTTACAAATGTATGGTACGATTTTTAAATACAAAAACACCTTTCGTTCTTTATCATACTCACTTACACATGCAGACACACAAACATACCCGCAGGCAGGCAGACACACGCAACGTACACTTTCTCTCTTGTATCAAGAAGATTTTGCGGCGTCGTATTGTAACGTATAAATAAACCTTACGTAATTACCGTAGAAGATTAAATTATTTTTACAAAGGCTTTCTCTGCGGTCTATGTTATTGTGAATACCTAGGCGGCAAATGGCCGCCGCGTCTTTGGTCAGTTTCTCGCGAGGATTACCGTGAACGTTCTACAAAATACGAAATATGTATCTATGTATGTACAAGACTTGGGAAGAAGCGACGCACAACAACGTCCGCGTTCGTTGCGTTCTCATTGTGCGCTTCTCGAGCACTTTGACCAACAACTATGTCTGTTCAGAGTTCCGTATATCTTGGAATATATCTATTAAATTGTTCACGCCTATCAAGTAGCCGTCCTCGTGGTTCCCCACCTGCCATTCCGCGTCGTGGCGGATGCGTGGCAGATGTTGAGGAAGGGGCAACGTTTTCGCAAAGTCGATCATCCAAATTCCAGCGTTTTTAGCGTCATGAACGAACAGTAAGCTGGATCCAACGACCTCGTGTGATGCGAAAAACGGAGACGCCTTCAGCGTCGCCCTTATCGCTTTCAATCGCAGGATGTACTTAGCTACTGCATGGGGGTAGCCCTCGACAAACCGCCTCAATGCTTCCGTCACCTGTAATTAATAGATTTCTGAGTTTTGTCTCCGCAATTCATATGAATTCGTAAAGAGATCTGCCATCTATTAACTAATTCTTCCAAAGTATTTATAAATACTTTGTTCGCATCCATACTTAAACGCGACCATCACTTTTGTCGAAATCTTTTTCTGATTTTTCTCCTCAGAAGTGTAGTCTCATTTATATGTAATTTACAGATAGCCCGAGTCTAGTAGCCAGACGCAATTAACAAACCTGTTCCCGCGTCCTGGTTGTTTTGAAGTCCTTAGACGAACCACCGTGGGCAAGCTTGATGCCTTCTACACGAAAGCCGAGCGTCGCTGTGCTCGATATAGTCTCTCGCCAGACCATGTACCTCGGTTTAGTGACACCTTGCACTCGGCGTTCTTCGGCGCTCGGCGCGGTCGGATCCACCTGTACCATCTTCTCGTACATGTCTTTCCTTAACTGGGGACAAGCTCCTATTAGACTCCGATAAACCGTGCCTGCCTTATCCATCCGGTTTAACACTTTGACTGCCACCTCATTCGCAATGCTTCGATGCGGCAACATGTTTTTCTAGATATTACAACCATGTTTAAACTTCTCGCTACTTTGGGATTCTATATAAAGGTTCTTAACAATAATCTGAAAGTGCACGAAAGAACCGCAATAATCATTTAAATATCTTTTAGCTTGTGAAACTTTTGCGAGAATGTTGCCAGTCAAAGTGTTAATCCCTGGTCCATTTGATTCTAGATCAAACTCTACCTTAGGTCTTTCCTTGGCTTTCGCGAGCTCGGATTCGAGATAGGTCCTAACGCCAACTTTGCAGTCCATCACACAGGGATGCTCGAAGTCTCCCAAAAGATCCTGAAGCTGCAAGTAAGAGCACAGCACAGTTCTCTTGTTAACGCTGTCCTTCTGATCAGCCTCCCCTGTTTCAGCCTCGTCTGCGTTTCCTTCCTCCGCCTCCTTCAGGTCCAGAACACCTTCGAACTCCGGCACATACGGCCTCAGCACGTCGTTCATCAGCAACCGGAAGCAGGCTTCCTCCTGGGGACAGAGTTTCTTCAGAATCGTTCCAGGCGTAGGCCCTGCTCGGAAGTTCCCTTGGTGTCCTGTTAATTGCACCTGGACCAAGAAACAATTCTGTTCAATCATCAAGTCCGATGCCAACTACTACTACTATTCACTCGGGAGTCTAATTTTTGTTTGCAGAGGAAGACGCCGAGATAGCTCCACTCACCCACGGATATCTCTGTCTCTTGTACGTCTGAAAGAACGGTGTCCAGTGAACGATATTCCTAAGCTTCCTCCATCCGGAAGACTGAAACCAAACAGAAATCCGATATCACCGGAGATTCGCGGCAATCCTCTAAGCTCCCGGGATCATCCGGGAAAACGATACGCTGATCCCCGTGGATCACGTCGTAAATGGTCACGGAACGAGGATTACGTTTGCTGTTCGGAAGAGAGGAGGTTTGCAGGGCTAGTTTATTAACAATCAGCAATTCGAAGGCTGGTCCTCGTTACCTTGGGGATCGCTCGCTCGTTAGACCGTTCCGTGTGATCGGAATCCCACTCGGAACTGAGATCGTCACCACTACCCTCTCCCCATTCCAGGTTCGCCTGAGGTACCGCGAGCAGTCTCAGGTACTGCTGATAGCCTGAGCTTCTATTCAAGCAAGCCTCGTCTTTGTGACTCTGCCCCCTAGCACATTTATCACACTTGTGTCTGCTTTTGCAGGCTCCGATCTCGTTTTCCACCACAACACTGTCCACAACCACTTTCGGGCAGGATTCAATTTCCTTCCGACCTTCACCGCTCGGGAAACCATTCTGCAGTCTTTCCAAAGCAGATCCCTTGATGTCAGACTCGGTGTTCGAGTCCAGGTAACTTCCTTCATTGTCTAATTCAATCTTATTATCCGTTTCGTTGTCGTCCTCGCCAGTTTCATTCTGCAACCGTTGCTCCTGCTCTTGCGGCTGCGTTCGTAAGAACGACGGCGAAGGACTCCTAGAGGAGGACGGCGAACGACGATCTACGATCGACGCCGAGAACCGCCTGGACATCCTCTTGTTCCGCGATCTGATCATCTTCCGCAAACCCAACGGCAGTTTCTCGCAATCATCCGCGTCCACGCTATCCTCTAATACCGATTTCGAGCAAACCACTATTTTCGGCACTGTGATTCTCTCGATCTGCATCTTCGATCCCGACGATCTGCCGCCTGACGGATCGTCGAGGTTTCTCTTGATCCCCTAATAATTCTTTTCCAGGGTTCTATAAAAGCGTTCGAATCTTCATCTATGATTCCATGACGGTTTTCGAAGAGAATTCGAAGAATTTAGTATTTTGAATCTTTATCGAGCAAACCCTCTTTCGAACCGAACTGTCTTCGCTCTCCAATCCTTTTTCCAGGGTTCTGCGGAAGTTCATGAAGAGGATAACGTAACAACAAATGGTAAAAACCGGTCCAAGACAACAGCCGTTCCAGCTGTAGAGACACCACTTTCGATGATCACAAGCAATCTACACTTTTAGTCTATCATCTACTGACTCGCGCGGCTTCAGACGCATTCCCAGCGAGACAGGTACACCATGAAGACCTTACTGGACAGGTGGCCGCGTTTCACTTTTGCCGATGAGTCCTGTCCGAATACCAGGCAGTCAATCCAGACCCAGCGTCAGCGGAAACAAACGTGCAACGAGAAACTTTCACGTTCTTCCGTCGTCGTTGTCGTCGTCGTCGTCGTCGTCTGGGGACCACGTTGCGATCAACCGTAAATCTATTTCCGGCGATTGCTGGATCACCGCTCCGTGATCCACGGCACAATAATCTCCAGCAAAAAGAACGGTCGAGTTGGGTCACCTCGTTATCTGCGGCTATCGGCTGCTTTCTTCTTCAGCCAACCTCGAATCTCGACTTCGTGGCCAGCGATTCATTCATTTTCCGATCCCTCCCGCTGATGCCGGCGCCCGCCTGTGTCTTGTAATCGCTGTAATCACGAGATGCGACTGAATCGAGACACCTGATTCGACTGGACGCGTCCACCCACGTCGCGTGTTCTCTCCGGGCCCGGGGTCCGACCGTGGAAAGCGAGCCGCGTGTGTGCTACTTTTTATTCGGCGAGGCGACACACGAGCGTACTCGCGTTACGCAAAATTCCGTCAGCTCTGCAACTGCGAACCTCCTCCAGGTGTTTTCTACGAGTCGTCTATAGTACCAAGACCGTGCCGATACCGCGCCCCTCCGCCCCTCTCGTTCGATCATCCGTTACACTCCTTTATCTTCAGAATAATCAACCTCCGGCTGTTGCAACTTCGCCTCGCATTTTCACACTGCTTTACCTCGTTCTTCCTTGTTAAAACGATAGGTGTTGCTCGCTCGTTCATTTGGTCAACAAGCGGGTTTCTTATTCTTCGATAGCTTGATCATACTTAGTTTGGCCAGCAAGTGAATATCAAGAAAGTCGGACGATATTCGGTAGCTTCTTTTTATGCTGCTCATCCTGCGGTATCTGCATCAGCCGGTGCCGTCGTCGTCGTCGAAAAGTGACTTGCTCGTTCGCTGGTTCCGTAAGAGAAATTGTAGAATATCGGTGCACCGTCACTGCACGCCCCACTCGATTTCTCCAAACGCTTCCGACGAGGCAATTAATGAAGACGATAGTTTGGAGGCTCGCTTGCTCTTCCGGATCGAACGAATGCTCGCGGAAATACGATATATTCAACACGATATAGACCAATCCTCTTTTTACCGCGTTCTTTTTCTGCAAATCTCGTCACCCGTTATCGTTGCTATTTACATAACGTTGGTATTTAAATGCCCCGTTACACGAATGCACAAAATTAGAGAGTTCCGAGATACAGTTCGATTAATTAGCTCGCGGGACTACCACGACAGACAATGATTAATATTCTTCTTCTTGCGCGACACTTGCGGTTCCGTCTTATATCAACACGACGGCATCAATGCAACGTTACGTTAGCACCGATGCAGAAACTGTTCTAGCAGCACAATCTCATCAACGATATGTATATATATATATATATATACGTGTCCTATTATCTCCCGACGGATCTTCTAAAGCTAACACTTTTTCAGGTAACAAGCAGTTAGAGCCGGGATGCTCCGAGATTCAGAGAATAACCGGATAGTTAACAAGTGGATAATTGGTAGCGCGAGAGCAGTATCTCGTTACCGAACTGATCGGGATCCTTAGCGGGTCTTGTTCTACGCCACGATCGCTGGATCAACACCGGCCGTTGGACTGGCTCGGCTGTTTATCGGTGCACATTCCAAATAACTGGCGCTTTGGCCTCTCGGACGCTCGTTACATAATTCGTGACGCTCTCGCCGTCGACGGTACACCGCATTTATTTCCATTTAAATGGTTTACGTCAACGTGATCGGGGCAGACCCTCGCGCGACAAGGATCCGCTTCGTAGTTTACGCTCGGCCGCGTGCGGAAACGCCGCTCGAGAGGATCGGCGCGATCCTCGCGCGGAGTGCACGTGCATTCTTCTCCCCTGTCGAGGCTCGAGAGCGGTGCAAATCGACGATGGGAATCACTGGCGAAAATTCCAGAGGGGAATCTCCATAGCTGTACTATCCTCTAGCATCCACTCGTCGGCTCCCAGGACTTCCGGTTGCGCCGCGGATGCCGGGAGTTGTCCACGGCGCGAGGTTCCAGCCTCTCTTCGAGGCTACCTGCGAAGATCTCGGTCCTGTCCTTTTGTCACTGTTCCCTTGATATTTGTAGAATTAACCTGAACGCATAGTCGCCTGCAGGCTGCCGAGGGAGAGTCAGTTGAAGGGTAAGGTAAACACCGAGCCTGTGGCTCAAGTTACAGGCTGATATGTTAAGAATTTGGGCATGATCTTATCGGAGATCATAAAGCAGTGCAGAAGAGTTGAGTTCCCCTCTAACAAGTGCGATCTTTCGCACGGTGCCGGCTGCAACATATCTCCAAGCGCGACGATAAAGTATCTTGTTTAATTGCTTATGCTCGTTTTCTCGCGGTTTTCCCTTCTATTATCATCAAAAGATTATCGTCGCACGATCGTGCCGCTTCCGTTTACACAGCCGGGACACAAGCAACTCCTTCACAAATCGCCGGTCACTTTTCGGAAAACCGCAACTGCCCTCCGAGACGATGGTCCTGTTTTCAAAGAGAACCGACACTGATAAACCGGATGATCGTTGCGTTCGGATGGCTTCGATTCGCGCAGATCGTGAATTCGCCGAGCCGAGACGACGACTCGACGATCGAAATGCGTCATCGACTAATTAACCGAGCGCTCGCGGTCGTCATTAGCCAGAGTTATCAGGAGCGGACGAAACACGCCGTTGGCGAACGTCACCGATGGCTAACCGACGCGGAAATTGTTATTTATTCTTATCGGCGATGCTTAAGTGGTTATCGCAGTCCAAAGATATGTGAAAAGAATACATATATGGAAAGCGGACAGACGATGACGAAGGAACAAAAGACGGTGAAATCGCGCGTTGTTTTAAGAACTATGATAATTCGTCTCGATGATACTATGAACTTTGCGTCACCGATTTTTACTAGCAGATACATAAATCCTAGCTTGTCTTATGTTAAATTGCGAAATCGCAATTGCCATGAATTATGGTCGAGAAAAAGCGACGCGTAGGCCAGTGACCCGGCACTTTTGACCCGTATCAGGCTTCATTATGCATGCCATCCGATAGAAAAATAGCTTGTAACGCAGACGAGCCGGGACCCGTTGGAAAATTTTATTTTGCAAACGTGTGCGTGCCACGAATAAGTCTCTTAAACGGCCTACAGTGATCGAACAGCAATTGAACTTCAGTTTTATTTCTGCGATCCTGTGTCGGCCAGACTTTTTTGTACTAATCGTTATATTGCCCATTAACATTAATGCGACAATTGAAAAGGATCATTATAATGTTTCCTAGCTGTAAGAAATGCATAGTTTGCATAGTCACGCGCGTATGAGAATGTTCCAGTAAAATCTAGAATTGGACCGCGAAGGGTTGATCTGCGAAATAGTCCCTTAAATCTCGAATACGAAATCGGGAACAGCGAATACAGAAATTCAGGTACAGGGTTCCCCGGAAAGAATCATCCGATTTCAAAAATTTATATTTTAAAAAATTACACACAGAAAATTATAATTCAAACACGAATATAACGGGAAAACGTGCGAGTTTTACTTTTTATTATTTTGTTCTCATGTACCAAACCGTTGGATTGGTCGCAGTGGTTCCTTTGGGGATTTGTGAAAGATCTTGCCTTTGTACCACCTTTACCTACAAGTGTAAATGCACGGAAAAAACGCATTTGCGATGCTGTACAAACAATTACCAGAGATACATTACACCGTGTTTGGCAAGAACTTTCATATCGCAATGATATCATACGTGTCACGAAAGGAAGTCATATTGAACACTTGTAAACAAAAACTCACACATTTTCCCCGTTATATTCGTGTTTGAATTATAATTTTCTGTGTGTAATTTTTTAAAATATAAATTCTTGAAATCGAATGATTCTTTCCGGGGAACCCTGTATTTGCCTGCGCAATTTCTTTGTGATTTTCCGTCGGGATCACTGCGAAGCCTCTCTGTTTGAGCAAAACATTTGCCGTCTTCGGACGCATGAATTTCTCTGCAAACAGTCTCCGAGCGCGCCGACGTTCCGTCTATGTCCACGCGGTAGCGAGTGTGCCCGGATCGCCTCCTGAACTTTTCAATGCACGTTCGTCCAGTTCGGATTCCAGAATGTCCGAGCTGCTGCGAGTAAAAGGTCACCTCGAAGATTGTACCGTCACATGAACAAGGTATGTAGTCAACCCCCCGGGGAAGCGATTGGGAACTCTAGAAGGCGATTCAATTATTGGATTCGACTAATATGGAGAACGATTTTACAGGTGCGCGGAACATGATCGTCGGCGAGTTTAAGAGAGCCGTAGTAATTGGCGTGACAAGGATTCTTTGCATTCAGGATGGAAACGCAATTCACTAATGGCTGAGCGAGCGAGACGTTTAAGAGGCGTTTAATAGGTACGTTAAACGACTACTCTGTTTTGTCTGTTAATATAGATAAAAAATTTTAACAAGATCTTCATAAATCTTTAATTCAACATAATATAATATATTTATAATAATCTTTTTAATGCGATCAACTTCCGAGAAATGATGCTCGTCGCGCAGGATAATATCACCTCGCAATCCAGGAAAACGACTTCTGGGAGAGAGACTGCTATTTAGGTATTTTCTAAGATTTTTCTACGAGAAAATTACAACATTATCTATATACGATATAACTTTACTTTCAACTAAAGCATTTGTGTGCAAACAAAAATGCCCGCTAACTTTCCCAGAAAAGATTCCTACAACTCCTGTACATATTTTTCAGATCGTCGTCCTTTAACTACGGCGCTTAGGTATCATAAATATCGCGAGAATGGTGTAACAGATGAAAGAGCCAGAGAGCAATGTAAGGATCGCGAGGATCGCGGCCGCAAGCGATCTGGGAAAAGTGTTAACAAGTCCCGGCAACGGGTTGTCAGCGCCGATGGTCATTCATTTGATCGGTGGCGACGCGCGACTCTCGTTTCTAAATAGCGGGAGGTCTTTACGGGATTCTCGGCCGTTGTAAAAATCAAACAACATCTCCGGCATCTGGTGCAGCACGCGTGCAAAGGCTGTCCGCCCCTGATGTCAATCCTCATTCGGCCGGTGGCTCGTAAAAGCCGCGTCGACGACGCGATACGCGCGTGTATTCACGGTCATTTCGCAGTTTTTCGTCTCCCTCTCTTTACCTCCAGCCCCCGCACTGCTTGTCACCGCCTTATACAAGCCGCTCGTGATTAATAAAACGTGCGCAAATGACTTTAAGCCGGCAGTTTAATTATTCAATTTTCACACGCACGACGATAGTGACTCGCGATACCATCTCGCGTGGGTTCTTCACGCAGCGAGACGAGTGGGCACATTAGGTGGAAATTATTCATAGATCGTTCGTGAGACTGTTCGAAATTGTTCTCAACACGTTCGTAGTTAGCAGTTTTCACAGCTTGATTTGTTTCGTTCGTTGTATTAACCGCAAACATTCGTAAAATCTGATAGATTACGGGATTTCAAGCGCAAAAACTTTTCATAATATTCATTTGTTCGAACAAGTTTCATAACTTGTTTAAACTTTAACAGGTTTCAATTCGAACACTTTTGCAAATACAAAACTGTTCGAAAAGTTTTGTGCTATTGTTATATTATTTTCGACTGATTGAATTATTTTAAAAAAAATCATTTAGCTTCTGTTTGCTTTACAATCGTCGCGGACGAATTTTACTTTGCACGAAGATCCACCACAGCCTAATGCTGAACCTATTGTCGAACTGAATTAATCGGATACTTTTTACGCGAGACACGCGCCTGTGACGCTGTTAGCGAACGTGTTAAAGTAAAGAATAGATGCGAAGGCCTCTTACAGTTTTCGAATTGGTGATCCAATACGGCTATGTTTACCATTTTCTGCGATATCTCGGCAGAACAAAGATCCACTCGAACGTTTGTAAATGCTCCTCCCGTTGAGATCATTGGAGTCGATGGCCATCCGATATTGGCAATGCCATCTCACAGGAAGAGTCTCTAGGTCGCATGTCGCCGGGGTTTATGGGGATCCGATGGTGCTCGTAAAGCCGAGACTATCGGGGTTAAGTGTCCTTTTTGCTTTTACCGTTGCATACGAATTCGATGCAGTTTTGCAATTAATGGCTGGTCACCGGTCGTTTTTCCTTTTCTTTTTTTTTTGTCGAATCGACGAGGGAATCCGCGAGCGAGACGGCAAAGGGACGTGAAACGGGGAGTGCTCGCGGACCGATCAAGGCGAAAACCCTTGACCCAGATGCCATCCGGCCAACAAAATATTCGATAAATACGCGCCGAGAGGCTCGGTCGCCTCAAAATCGAATGATCCCGGCCTCTTTACGATGATTCGCGCGCGAGTATCCTGCATCTTTATTTGCTTCTCTGCTCGAAGATTTATGCCCCGGCGACTGCAAGGCTGGACCCTTACACATTTATAGCAAATTTTGCCGAGCGGAATCCGGGGAAACAGATTTTTCAACGTTGGGGATAACCAGTAATGACAGTGATTGCTGGCATTGCCTTGCTGCGCGGTGTTCATGGAAAAATATGAAACCAGTGACTGTAGTAGTTCCAGTGTCAACAAAGTTGTTTATTAAGGTGATCAGCTTTCGTTCGGCTCCAGTTTTCAGCAACGTGGCCTTGGGAATGTGAATTTGCATAAAGATCCGCAGGAAATTCTGTTGGCCGCGATCACGTTTGATTGTATTCGTATCTCCAATTGACCTGGGCTCTTTTTATGTGAACGTCCAGCGAACCTCTTCGTGATTCACGGTGTTCCTATTTACCACGAAATCCACCGAGCCGGTCGATATGACCGGTTTCATATATTGTATTTTAGAATTGCCGAAATTATGCAGACTCGTTGATAGCGAATAATTGTATAAATTTCTCAAGCAAAATTGTAATCAAAATTGTGGAAAGTCTGAATAAATTCAATCTTATTATTTTTACGGAGCACGTTCGTCCCTTTTAATGCTTGGTAGGTGTTTAGTGTTCGGTTCGTAGATCATTAATTTTCCAGGAGATTCTATAAAATCATCTAAAAATACCAATTCTCATTTCCAGGGGTATGAGGATCGCCTGCTCGCGTTTGCTATGAATGCATAAAATCCAAACAACGGTGCACTTTCTGCGTAAACTTTCTGCCTGTTCAAAAACAATCGGCGAGCTCGTAAACGGAACAAGAAATACAAGCCTCGCGCGTGGAGGACCACAATAGCTGGAAAAGTTACTATAAACCGTGTCTGACGTGGAAACAGAGACTCGCGGTTTTTGCGAGCGTTTAGGCCAGTTTTTCGCGCCGAGAGCGACAGGAGATTCCCGAAGGCAGATCGGCATTCCTCGGCCGAAGGAAACTGGAGCGGCCGAGAGAGCTAATTGGTCCGCATCGGTCGATTAGCCAATGGGATCGAAACGAGAAGGAAACACGACCGCTAATTGACCGGCGCGGCTTTTCTCGCGGACGGCCAAGTTGCATAAACCTCCGAGTGCCCAGCTGAAGCAGCAGCCGCGAGGAAACCTCGAAGAATTTAGGCCTCTGCCTCCCGGCTTGCGCAACAGACCGATAATAAGTTTCTAATCGATCATCGAGCTGTCGACGTCCCTGCATTCATTACGCCGGCTGACCAACGGCATACCGAATGAAAGTGAAACGTATCGACGGTTCGGCCGACGATTTCGAAACCTTTTTATCGCCTCTGTTTTTCGCCGATCGACCGACCGGCTGTCGCGGGGACACAATGTTCTTGTTAAACAGCCTGACAAAAGGACGCCAGAGCAGCGGTTGATTGATTTCATTGAGACATCGACCGCCCGAACGAGGAACCACCGGGAACAGGTTCACGGACGTCGACGTACGACGGCTACGAAAAGCATTTCAACCTTTCGACCTTCGTGAAGTTACCTTTTTCTGTCCGACCTGCGGCGGGCTGCGCTGGTGCTTGTCGACGATGCCCAATAAACAGTCGTCGCACTTGCAGTAGAAATTCCTACTCGACGCGGAATCGTTGGAGAGCAGAGAGTTGTAGGTGCTGGCACTGGTCTGACTGTCCATCGAGTCGGCTCTCCTCAGAAAAAGGCTCCTCCTCGGAGACGCTCCGCTTCTCCGATCTGCCTCGTTCTTCTCGTCCTCCCGTAAACTCTGCTTCTCGATCTTCGCCAGCAGGATCTGCTCCATTAGATTTAACGTTGGAGGCGTCGAGAGCGTCGGCGACGATGGATGAGAACTGCCGAGTCTCTTCTCTTGCTCCATTTCTCGGTCCATGTATGTCCTCGAAAAATTCTGCGAATCGAGTTCTTAGCAATTTAGCACTGGACAAATTTCTAAGAAGATCAGAAGGCTCTAGAGTTATTTTTCCTGTAGACTTTCTCAAACTTTATCTCTCCTCTTGCTATCGGCGACTCGCTCGACGATTAGGAAGAATTCCTAGCAGCTGGTATTTCTCACTTCAGCTTTCTCTTTTGCAAACTTCTCTGGCCGTCAATTCTTCTCTCGATTACCTAACAATTGCTACCGAGGAGTCAATGCTGAGTCCTAAATTGATCTTCCTTTTATCTAGTCTTCTTTTAAGCTCTTCTGACCGATCCAGCAGCATTTGCTGCCAAGGATTTGCTACAAAGCAATCGATCTAAGAGGTTGTCCAAGTCGAGCTTCCTGTATCCAGATTTCCTTGTGCTTCGAGTCTTCTTCTGGCAATCAATCCTTCACCGTTCGTTAACGATTGATTTGAAGGACCAAAGATCCTGGGAGTTAGCCGAACAGCTTCCCGTTTCCATGGACTACCGTCGACGATGATCCTCGATGGATCGAGAAGAGTCCCACCAGAGATTCTAGCTGATCGGTCCTCCAGGACGATTTTCCGAAACGGTCGGCCACACGACGCTCCTCGGAACGATCCTGCCGTCGAACTGCGACATTTCAAACGTACACTACGCGACTCTCGACTCTTCCACGAACGTTCCTCGGAACACTAACACCCGCATCGAATTCATTGCCGAGTGCCGTGGCAAAAAATGTATAACGGCCGTGACACTACACGCGGCGGGATCAATTTCTGCGGACTTGGTAGCGTTCCCGGAGAGTACTCGGGTAATTCGCTCGGCGGTCAATTGACTGCGGCTAGAGGGAACTGCGAAAACTGTAACCTTCGAGTTGATCTAATAGCCACGCTATACTACTCCTTTCGCTTTGTTTTCCTCTCCGCAGCGCGAAAATACACGGTCCCCCGCTTTGCTTCGAGATCTGAATCGCGACGGACGGAATGGTTCTCGCGCAGGGGAATAGCAGGTACGGTTCGCGATTAGGTTCCGCGTGTCCTTGGGAAGCAGGAGAGACTCTCGAGGACACGGAGAGGCCGGGATCCAGCGGCGAGCAGGGCCCGGCTGCACGCTTTTCCTCTACTGACCCGAATTGAGTGCTTCCTGTTCACCAGCCGACCGCGTATTACTCGATCATCTATCGCGTGTATCACCTATATGCCGCGTGACAACCAGATCTCGCTGTTCTGTGAACTGTCGCGGCCGCGCGCACCTGATAGGCTGATGCCACAGGTGGTAATCGTACCTAAGTACCCATGGGAGGACGGTTGGTTCGCCGGAGCAAGCGGAGCACTACAATTTGGTCTAGGATTACAGAGGTATGTTGACCTCGCACTGGACCCGTGGTTTACACCCTTCCTTGCGGGGTGTCGAACGATCTTGGAACTTATTGGAGGTAACGGAACAAATGTCGGAGCTACAGCGGCTCACAAAATTGTTCGTACACCTTTTGAAACGCGATGACTTTTTTCGAACTGGACTACTCTATTAGACAATAACTAAAATGCTCCTTTTTATTTTTTAATTTTGTTATTACTTGAAATGACAAAAACAAAACTCTAGGTTTTTAACCTTTTTATCTGAGCCTATAACGGAAAGCTACAGGCGTTGAAAGATTTAAAAAAGACTTCTTACCGTTTCTGGTCGAATGTGCCAAAAATCGTGACAGAACTGCGTTTTTTACGATCTTTAATTGTTTACAGTTCGTATCAAGGTCAGGCGATTTCCATCAAATTTTCAGTTAATTTTAAGTTACCAACTATAGTTAATTATAAGTTACCAAGATCAAAGAAAAGCATTTTTCTTCATTTTCCTTGCAGGCTCAGATAAAAGTGATAAAAAAGCGAGAGTTTTGTTTTTGTCATTCCGAGTAATAGCAAAATTTAAAAAGAAGCATTTTTGTTATTATCTAATAGACCAATCCGATTATCATCTAAAAGAAAAATTCACGTGATATAGTCCAGATTGAAAAAAGTTATTGCGTTTCAAAAGGTGTACGAACAACGTGCAGATCACTAGATAGCAGACGATTATACGAATTATCGAATAAGGAATAATTTGTACGAAGGAATTTTACAGATACGAAGAAAAATTGCCAGGCGAAGTCGGCGTCAACCGAGCAAAGAGATCTCTAATCGTCATAAGTGTTTCCTGGCGGAGACGTCACCGATAGGAAGCAACGTAGCGATTTTCCCAGCATAAATCTGCGGTCCCAGTGCCGCGGTGCAGAGACAAAAGGTGTTCGATTACGTCTCTGCTTGCATAATGAGCCAGTATTTGATCCTCCGATTGACGTAATCCATTCGCCTACCGCGCCGATAATCATCCTCCGTAGGCTCTTTGTCTCGCATCTCGCAGAAAATTTTCCGCAGTATCGAACGTCGCGCTCAGCGGAGAAACTCTCGAAATCTATATATGGTCGAGTCATAAATAACTTCCGATCCAGCTAGGTAGAATCTATTGTTCGTATCTACTCGCTATGAGTCTCCGAGACAAACGAGTTCTTGTTTTCGCTAAATTGATAAGGATTCAAAATAAATGAAATAAAAAGAAATAAACGATGAAGAAAGAAGATAAACGTCCGATAAAAAAACGGAAGCTTTTTATGACTCTCGACCTAATAATTCTCGAATCAACACAGGCACGCAACATCCGTATTAATCAAACTGTTTGAGCAATCGTAGGCGATCGTTCGAACCACTGTCACAACAAACGGATCACCTATGTCGGAGGACTTTCACTAAACCTTCGTCGATGATCTACGCGCGGCGATTTATGATTTCTGTCGTGGCTGCCAGACAATAGTCATTAATATCGCGGGGAATCGCGGGCTTGTAACTGAAGGAGAGACGAAGAGCCCGGAATCGTTATCAGCGCGAACGGGATCATTGTTATCGGCGATTTGGCCGATCAATAACGCGGTATTGCGAGATATCGAACGATCAAGGTACAGAAACATGATTATGGAAGCTAATCGAACAACCTGAACTCATCGTCTGGCATGGTTTTCTTCAAACCCCTTGATTTATAGGGTAAGCTATTGTTTATTATTTCTTGGCGATTATTCGATGCTCGAAAAAGCGGTCGAGCTATCCCGGACTCGCGCGCTGAAAACTTGGTACACCATCTGCTGAATATGGGTTTTACCAGCCCGATAAGAAACGCTTGAAACTTGGTCTGCCGTGAAAGGAAGCTGGCTGCCTTTTAGCGGTCACGTTCTATCCGTGACTGTCTTTGAGCCGCGCCGCGACTCCGACCAGCTCGAAGATCGCCAAAGTGCGATTCGAATGGGGTAATTCGACAAACATGGAAAAAGTTCGGTGCGGTGAATAAAAGATGAGGCATCCAATTACAAGGTATGGTGTGCTTGACTATTTAACTGGATGGCTTTTTCATTATGAATGGATCCCAAGGTGAACAAAATCGAAGCAATGCGAAAGGGTTGCGCGTCGAGTTGAAACAACAATGAGAATTTTCCCTATGCCGGTAGCGAAAAGATCAAAGGAACGCCCATGGAAGTTCCACAGACCCTGTGGAATTCGTGGAAGGCGATTACATCGAGTGGCGCTATTACATATAACGAGAGAGCGCTCTCTCATTTAGAAGCAACGAGGAGGCTTTGTTTTTGTCGCGAACCACAGGATAAGACGATAAGATTCAACGACAATTGCTTATCGGTGTCGTTTGCTAATCATTCTCCGTCCAAAGATATCTATTATTTATTGTTGTCAACAATAACAGGTTGGGTAAGACAGTATGTGTTTTACTCGCGTGACGAACCCGGTTCTGAGAACGAGAACTAAGTATCTCTTTTTCGAAATGCCGAAAGATTGCAGATGCTCTTGCGAAGAAATTGAAATTTTTCGTGCTAAACGGGCTGCCGCGCTTTTACTTTCGACCGTGGTCCGAGCCAAGCGGCTTTTCGCGATTAGAAAACAAATCGGCACACTGGGATTTCCGACGACCCACGTCCACGATATTATTTTCGGTCAGGCCGCGCGCGCGATGTTTTATTCATAACGCGTACGTGTCATCCCGTGTGCAACGCGAATTTTCTATGTCGTGGAGCTGGAACGCGTGGTTGGATCGATATAGGCACTCTCGGTCAGCATACGCTTAGAAAATCTTCGGCCCACGATTGTCTCTTAGCGTTTCAATCGCGAATGCCGCAACGTCATTGTTCCGCGGTCGAAACAAAGAACGCCTTGCGACGGAGTTCGTTCGAACGTTGAATGAAAACTCTTCGACAATGATTTTTTCTAGAATCTACGACTACATGCTTCGAATGCTCGCTCCTGACCTTCGAATCGTTTATTCTTCGCTGTTAACTACGAATGCTTCCTCGAAGAACATTCACGAATTCCGAATTTTCGCCAAGCTTGTGATAGGAAGTATATTATCGAATTGGCCATTGGACTTGCTGAAGAATGTTTCATCTAAACGTCAAGATCATTAGCACAAGGACCTTTAAAGACACCATACCGGACCAGATGAAAAATCGTTTAGAAACTAGTTCTTATCATAGAACCTTCGAAACCACCTGGCAAAACAAGATAAACGATCATCTAAGGTTAGAAGAGTCCAGGGACTGTCTACTGCTAGCAAAAGCTCTTAAGAACACTTCACGAAACGTGCGTGATCATCTTCGAAAACAAGATAAGCAGTGATCTAGAAATTAGAAGCACCTAGCGTGCAATTCTCCTAAGCTGCTAAAACACTAGCCAGAAGAAGATGATCGGGAATGATGATCCAAGATCCTGCACCGGAACGGAAACGTGAAAATCTCGAAATACCTTGTAGAGCAATGCGTCGCAAGCGATATTTCCGTCGAGGATCTCGTCCAGATGGTCGATCCTAAGTAGGCCGAGGGGCCGTTGCTTTCCACGCTTCATCTTCCGCGTCCTCCAACTTTCCTCTTGCCGGAGACGCAGTCATCGGGAGCGGATCACCGCGTGAACTAGCCGACCGCGAAATTGCCGTCGCCTCTGCGGTGCACATTATCACCTGGTAATATTTGTTGATAAGTGCCCGGCCGGCGGCGAACACGCGACGAGACCCCTTCGTGGAAATCGCTGCGCGCTGCTTATCAGATGGCAGTCGCTGACGAGTCGCAACTGCGCGTCTCCGATCCCAAGAACCTAACCGATTATCGCCGAACACCTGTTCGAAGTAATCTTTGGCTTAGCATGACGCCTGCTATGCTTACCACGTGGAATTTGACTCGAGTCAAGCTCGGTCAGGGTTCAGAATTTCGGAGCAACAATTCTACCCTACGAAGACTAAGTCCGCCGTAATTGACTCCCGCTGATAACGAATGAAGATACACTCTTCCCGACCAGCTCCACCGCACAGTAAACAGAGGCCGATTCGTCGCGCTTTATTTAAATCAAGTTCGCCTTCCTCCCCCGGTTTCGCTGGTATTCTATTTTTTCCCGACGCGGAGCGGAGTCATCGGAATAAATGATCCGCCGTATCGCGTTTCGATCCTATAAATATATGGGATCCATGAGCCCCTAATCGATAACTACCACCATCCTCGAAGGATGAGTTTATTGGTAACTCGGTCGGGACACTGAGATCTTCAAGAACCCGAGTATCACCGTAGATGCCGCAAACTGTTCCAGAGAAAGTTTCAACGATTTTTCTGGCCATGTTGATGAGCAATTGAAAATTCGACGTTGCGGATAGAGTATGATAATAGAGATTTGTATGTACGGGGAGACCAGCTGACGCAGACTGACCGAATCCTATGGTACGCGGTGTCGCGAACGGAGACACTGCCGAGAGACCGCACACCGCTGTCACCGGTCCTCCACTGGTTCACTGTTACCACATCGACTACCTCGGCTAGACTGGAGATGCCTCGAGCTTGAACTTTCTGGCTCCTTGAACGGAGCGGGATAATGGAGCATTTGAAAGTAAAAGCCAGTAGACCTATTCTCTTTATGCGGGCCAACTCTGGAAGCGGCTGGTCTTATAATCAGTGGCATAGTGGAAACATTGATGGACGGACGCATCCTGCAGGAGCTATCTTAAAATACTCTGTTACGACTGTTTATTATAATAAAAAGTGTCGCAGACAAAAGTTGTAGTATCTCAGATGGTGTTTAAAATTTAGCAACTAATTTTATTGTTTTTGTTATATTGCCACTTTATAGATGTCGACTCTGATCTCTAACTAGAAGATTGAAAGAATTGTCAAAGTGTTCCAGATGTTTTTATACAAAATGCAAGGTAAAAAATCTTAATTAGTACGCCGTGAAGTCCTCTTGATACTGTACAACTTTTGTGTGAAATCTTTGATCGTATAGTAAACGGTTGACGGGCTATTTTAAGTACAAGAATCGCTTACCGCAGAAGTTATTGTTTCACTAGGTGAGTCACACGTTCCCCACAAATTGTTGAAACTAAACGGATCGCAAAGGATTAACTATGACAGAGAATAAACTTAGAAATGCATTATTCCGGTATGAATAATTTAAACAACGCGGTCGGCCAACGTAGCATGGTGGTGCTTCGGTTCAGCCAAGGTCGCGCAAATTGGCATTGATCTCATTTGCTTCATATTCTATAATAAAATTTTGCAGATAGCATTGCAGAAACTAAATTATTCGATTAACTTGACACAAAGTTTTCCAGCCGGGATCAAGAACTAGCATCAAATTGTACCCGGCCTCGCTTGACCGCTATCGCCGAGAATCCGGTTCCCAAGCTCAATTCCACGCTCGCGGAGAGGAAAGGTGTAACTAGTGACGTCAAGCAATTGTGGAATTTACAACGGTGTTTATAAGCGGTGGTGGTTCTCGCCAGGTGATAGTCAGGCTACGTCAGTGGCACGGCCTATACAAAAGTCGCACATTCTGTCTGTTAGATAAATTAAACTAATGAATTCGGTTCCGGCCTCGCATTCCCAATACCATGAAATTTCCCGAAACTCTTTGCCAATCCTCCACGCGGATCAAAGAGAGATGAATTTATGGGATCTCGGTGAGCGGCGGACGCGAGAGGCTGCGGGGACGAGGAAGAACAACATCGGCTGCAGCGTTCAGTGCACGTCACTATAACCCACGCAAAGAATGCACAAAGCGATCGTGCACGTGCGCGACGGGTTTGTAAACACGTTGATCCATCCGTATGGAAAACGAGTATGCAGAGACAGGGCCAGGTATGCTACGTACAAAGGACGGGCATGCATAACAGAATTCCGTCGTTCGCTGTATTGTTGCGGCCTCGTGTTTCAAAAACAGCGACGCGTGTCTTCTTGTACTATCTGTATCATTTTCTAGGAAATTTTTCAAAGATCATTCCGTGTCGACATCAATTTTTGCCGCGTACTGAAACGTTGAAGAATAATTCTGTGATCAAAATAAGCCTCCAAACAGGGATATAGAGATAGAGAATAAGAGCGCCTGCGTACGAAACGTAGATAAAGCTGAGCCTAGAGCAGTCACGTTCCCGTTTTCATTAAGAGCGTCCCTAAATACCAACGCGAATTCCGTATTCGTCGTATGAACGGTTCGTTTGTTCACGAACTGGAGCACAAGCGTGACGTTGCGTAAGATAAATTAGCCGCGTGTTCGCCGCACGGCTAACGAGCGTGCGGTGGTGGTGTCGTGCTAAACATAGCTTTTTCCTTCGGTGTAACATTGAAATATTTATACACCTGCAATGGAAATACGTCAGAACAGGACGGACACCGAGCTGTTCAATGAATTTATGGTAATTTTATTTATCTTCGCCGCCGCTCCTTTCGTTCACGGAATCTTTCTCCTTGAAACAGTTCCGGACACATCGTTGCGGTACAACATACAATTGGAACTATCCGACGAGATGCGTTTCCGGCAACCGAGACCAGTCCTTCCCAACGCTTTGTCTACCCTTCCTTTCTTATCTGAACGAAAAAGCGATAACGGTGGTTTCACACTTACTCTAGGCTTCGGTGGCGGCTGATCGGTCACGTCGGATTCGTCGCCACTGAGACTGGACGTCGTCGAGCAATCAGAGATTTTTCTCGAAGGAGGAATATCCAAGAACTCGATCTTCGCTTTTTCCTGCAGTTCTTGAGAGTTTTCTTGAGTATATTGCAGCAGCTGAGAGTCCAGCTTTGAATAATAGGAGTTTGTTGAATCTAGACAGGAATTCCGTCTGTTTCCAGGTTCATTGTAGTTCCTGGATAAAATGTTTCAACATTAGAAACAGCAGAAGTAAAGTATTAGCAAACAGAACTTTCGCGCAGGTACCTTGTAGCAGTAACATTCATAGAATCAAGACACAGACAACTGGAGTCTGAATGCCTCCTACTGCGACAAACACTTAGGAATTGATTATCTAAGGACTCTCGAATCTCATCGCAGTCTAAGCAGGAACAGCTGCTCGCTTGACTAGGTGTGCCACTGGTTCCTTCGTATTTCTCGAGCTCTAGGTCATTTCTTTCCAGCTTTTCGTCAAAATAAGAGTAATCTGAGTAGTCACTGACAACCACACTCGGTGTTCTCCAATATCTGGGCCTCCCTTCATTGTGCTCAACTTCACTTCCCTCGACTGCATTCGTGCTGTCCCACCCTACAAAGTATATTATTTAGTACGAAATACTTATTAACAGAGGCTTCCAGTAGCTAAAATAATAACTTAAAGTATTCGACAGCAAAAAATATTCAGTAATACCAATTACAGAATTAAAATAATTCGGCTAAAATAAATAACTTCAACAAACAAAAAAAAGAACCAACAAAAACGTTGCAAGATGAAGTTCGACTTACACGTCCCGGTGTAAATTCAAATGTGCCACTAAGAAAAAAAGGAAAACGAAGAACACGCGGAACGATGACGTCAGTGTGCGCAGAGCGCGTGGGTCAGGGGAACGTGTTTTGAACGGACGTGCCCCCTCTCGCACCGCAAGCGGCAAGAGCAACTGGTGTCACGGCATCACACGATCCGAACTGCACGTATTACACATATATTGCATCCCCCTCACCTTTGATTTGATCTTCGTCGCTCAAGACCGCGCTGTCCGAGCTGCAGCATCTAGTGACCCGTAGTTTGTGTCGTTTTAGCTGGTGCGTGGTGGTCAATGAGGCTAGGTCCTCGTCGCTGGCCGCGGCTGAATCGAGGCTCCAGCATCGGGCGACGGATCCCCTCCTCCGTTCAGGATCGGCCTCGATCCCCTCGTCGCTTTGCGGGCTCTTGCTGAGCGACCTGACCACCGGCATTCTGATTGTGTCGAACTCGTCGTAGGTCTCGTTCGCCTCGATCGGATCAACGATCGGTGACTCTTCTTCGTGAACCTGTTGCTTCTTCGACCTCATCGCGTGGCCGGCTTCCTCGCCGGCTTCTCGATCACCGAACAGCCGCTCGAGACTGTGCACCAGCTCGCATACCGACGAACCACCCTCGCTTTCGGCGACGTACTGATACTGATTCTCCACGATACCGACACGCCGTTTCCGCGAGATCTGACCGCCGCCGCTCGAGACCGAGACCGAGACGTTCCGTTTCCACGACGATTCCTCCGCGCCGACGATCGGCTGCTCCCGCTCGGGCCCCTGTCCGCCTCGCGACAGCTGTTTCGACTGTTGCCGACGTCTCAGCACCGTGTAACCGTTCTCATCGCGTCGGCCTTGTTTACGAGAGGATTCCCATCGTCCTCTCCGCACTAGGTCGCCAGACGTTCGATTTGAAATACGGGAGATGCATCGCGCACCGTGCCTGAACCAATCGCGACCACGGCGTCGACGCTGGTTCAACCAGCCGCCATGTTGAATTCCGTAGACCACGCGGGAACTAGACGGAAAACGTACGTCGATCATCTGACCTGATTTCATACGCCGGGCACGGGGCGACTTCGAAGGATTTCTTTCACGATCGGCAACCGCCTCGTCTGTTCTCCGGACTCTTCTCTTCTCGGTCGCTGCATATTTCCTCAAGATCGGATAGCTTTGGTCCTCCTCGTACGTTATTCTCACGATCTTCGAAAAGTTTACCCTCTTTTCGACCAGGTTCCTCCTCGCACTGGTATTGTTTCAAGGCCGATTTGCGAAGATGCCATGGTACACGTACAGAAATTGGTTGAAAAATAATTTTTCGTTAGAATATTTCTAGTTACGATACATATGTACTTATTAAGTGAATGATTTGAACACGAATGAATAAAGCAGTCACAAATCATAGATCAACGGATTTGATTCTGTTTCATTGTCAACGTGAACCGGCTGGAACGAGATGAAATATAACTTGAAATCGAGATTCGAATTGATTTAACAAATTCTAATTCGTGCTTATTGTATATTACAAAATACCCAGATCGATGAATTGAAATTTACCACTGAAAACAAATGAACCACAGTATATCGTACTGTATGCATTCTAAGATGGTATTGAAAGTTCGTGCTCACTATTTTGCTGGTGTGGCATGATTCCCGTGTGTTTACTATTGCGTCCCACTTTAGGCATACATAATGGCCTTTAGGCCAAGCTCGAAAACAATTCCTCAAGAGTGCGACCGGCATTTAGCATTCCGAATACAAATCTCTACGCAAAAACTCTAATCAAACCAGTTCATTGTTTTTTTCGCTGATCTTTATTTATTCGCGTTACGCTATAAACAATATATGTAATACCAGAAATTATTACATCTAAAGCATAACGTAGCCATTCACAGAAAACTAAAAATAACTAAAAAAAATTGTTTCATTGGAAAGCAACTCCTACTACAAAAAAGCATATTTCATATCATCGAAGTTTCCCTCCAAAAGAAAAGTACTCGTCCAACGACAAAGTGATTTTACGGTAATACGCGCGCACGAAGGGACATAAATTTTTCTAATAACAACGCAGCATTACGAGCTCTTATCTAATCTCGGCGTAATACTATTACACGCCTCACCGTTCCCCATTCAAAACGATCATTGCAGTTATGCTTCCCTACGAAATAACCCAAAATAACATCGCAGGTGCTTCTGTCGCACGCAACAGCCTATCGTTTTACTATCGAAACGGAAACATCAAGAACTGTTGTTTTCGAGAAAGCTGTGTCGATCGAAAGAGTAGAATGACTTTTCGCGAATCGGATAGTCCGAGTAAGAGTCAAGGACCGAGTATCCGGGTCGAAGAAATGCGGAGGGAAAGATGCATGGAAGAGGTATGCCAGGGTTGCTCCTTGCTCCTGCGATTGACGTCACAAGTGCGTCATCGGAGGCAAAGAAACAAGAAAGTGCGATTGAATGATCGCGCGGCGGTTACAGCGGCCGCGTACCGCTGCCTGCTCTCGTGTATCGTTGCTTCTTTCTCTTTCTCGACAAACGGTCCATTATCTCGTCAGTTCAAGTGCCCCTTGGCCACTTGAGCCTATCTGTGCTGCAACCGTTCGTTCGTTCGCTCGTTCGGCTGTTTCATTGTACGAAATAACCGTGTACCGCAACGAGCGGAATTGCGAGCCTTTTCTTCCTTTTTTCGCTGCTTCTCTTTTTCTATCGCCTACGTATCGGTTTTCAGTGGCCGGGAACCGTTCCCGACTGCACGCTGCACCCGGCGCAACATTGCGGCGGCCGCGAGATAAGATTGCGAAACGGGAGGTCCGTCGTCATTTTTACGTCCAGGAAACGAGTGGCAACGCGTAAATACATAACAAAACGTTGTCTCTACGCAAATTCAACAAACCTCGCCGACAGGGGTTTCTAAACCAGATAGTGGCGACCCCCCATGGTCTACGGGAAGTTCGAGCGGGGGTTGTTTGGAGGTTGATCGATAAAAAAGTTTTCTGAAGAGAGATCAATTCGAATTTCGCATCTGTTTTCGATACGTGTCGGTTCGGGAGATTCGAAGACGTTAGGATTGTTGGGAACTTCGTCGCGCGGGAATAATCATGTCGAAATGTTTTCCGATTACGTCTACGATTTCGTAAAAGGAGATAAGGTTATTCGAAAATAAACGCACATAAATTCGGAAGAGATCCGAATGTCGGTCGCGCGCTTCATATTTGGAAGACGGAAAGAAATTCGATGGACAAGCTAGAACGATTTCTTGGCCTTTCTATTTGGGAATTCAAAGATGATTCGCACGGAGGAAGGCTAGACGAGGCTGTGTAGCCAGGCTCATATTTGTGACGAAATCGGGTCAATGTCGGCCCAAGGCTAATGACTCGTTCGTGTTCCAGATAAGTAATAACAAATTGTGCTATTATACCAAACATTCGGTGGACAATACTCTACGAACGATTATTAATTCGTCTGAAGGTTCTGCAGGATCGTAACTCAAAATAATAGAAATTTGAATTTTCAGCAAATATTATAAGACGCTAACTGCGTGCGTAATGGTTTCTGACGTCATTTTAATGGCGCGGGAAAGATTCGTACAAAAAGAAAAAATGTGTTACTAACGTGCACGAAATAAATGAACGAAGTTTGTTTTCGATTTCACGTTGCATTTCTTACCTGTCCATCTCGACGTTGTATTCTGCATTTTATTCAGGACCGAATAACATGAAAACGAATTGCGGCAAGCATCGAATTTAAAGTACAGGAGTAATTATCAAATTTTGTGAAAAAAAAATTGATTTGCAAATTGTTCGATCTTAACAAGCAACTCGTCGACGACGCGATACAATTCGATTCTTATGCTTGGAATTCAAGGAATTCGACCGGATGTCCTCGACGTTCATTATCGCTCGCAATCACCACGGGTGTTAATTTTCGATCGTGGTAACTGGATGGAGCAATGTGTGCGATGATTGTACGTCAATCGTAGCTGATGGCTGACTGAACTCGAGATTTGAACTTGACCACTCCGCGGTGACCACCTATACTCGAGTTCCTGTCTAAAAGGAGGGGATCGATTGCATTGAAATCAGTTCTCCCAGAAGGGAAGGTTTACACCTACGATTGACGCAAAACTTGTAATTAAGATACCACGTAAACCGCCAAGATTCATGTGATTCCATGATCACATTACTTGGTTTCCTCTTGTGGCCATGGAAATTTAAGACACTATACATTTCAGTGCACGCGCTATTACAACCGATAAAAAATAATAGACGATTATTATTCTAACAGGTAGAAGAATTGAAGGATCTTCATCTTTTCCTGAAACTTTTATTTTAGAAAAGTATTTTCCCTTAGAATCTTAGGTTTTACAGGACTTCATAGAAAGTAATATCAGAATACTCAGTTGGATCTAGCACTAGAGATCCAAATACCTGTAGGTCTTGTGCGTTTTTGTCTAACTCAAACGGTTTTAGCCACTTCTTTACCGATATTCCTGTCTTTAAAGTCTTGAAAGTTGTTTCAACAGATGGTCTAGTGACGAGAATCGTTCCTTTTTGGATGTTAGCTTTTAAGAATTTCCAGATTTCTGTATGCACAGAATCTGGAACATAGAATTCAAATGGATTGTTCATGATAATGACATTGCTACTTTGTACAATCTCTGGACACTCTTCAATCCTCTTATTTACAATCTCAATGCGGTCATTCATTTTGTACTTTTGTATGATGTCAGACTGCAATGTGCAAAGATCTTTATTCATTTCAACACCAATGATCTTGGGTGCTGATGAAAATATATGTGCCTGAAAATGCATTTAAATTTCCAAGTTAGTTACACATAAATTTGTCTTTAATGAAATGATAGCATTAAAACAGTATAATGTAATTTACTCCATAGAGGACAGCACCCAGTCTAGATCCTATATCAAGAACAGTTTTTCCATCCATAGATGGTAAAATATTACAGAATACATAGACCATTGTAGACACTGACATGGAATGCGATATGATATCTAAAACAGAATTGTTATAATATTCTCATAAAGTTAAGACATTATTAATATGAAAACTTAATCAGTGGTTCCCTACTATATGTTTTCACATTTGTAGATCCACATTTGCCACAATACAGATTGTCCAGTTTCCCTTCTTGAATGAGGTCGTCAACCTCATTATTATCATAAAGAAAAGCATCAATGTGCTTTGTTGAAATAGCATCACAATCCGTGTTCTAAAGATTTATTGAACCAATAACATTTGCTCTTATCTGATAACACTTCACAAGTCTATCGTGCAATTGTAATTTTGTATAACATCAGGCAACAGACCTCTCCAACTGTTGGTGCCACAATGTTTTCTGATGGCAATATGCTATCAAATGGTACTCTATCTCTGATATCAATAACAATTTGTTTGATATTTCTTAGGCGTTCTTCTTGTATATCGCTGCCATTAGAATAACCATCTAGAAAATACATTTTCCTCAGTATCATTTATTTTATACTTCATATATTTATGAATATGAAATGTGGTATACCTATAAACTTTTGTGAGAGTGATCGCATTCTTATATCTTCAGGCCTCCAGTTATCAGCGATAAATGACAAAAAAATTTGTTGATCTGTTTCATTTAAGGAACATATGGTGTCCGTGAATATTTTTATTGCATCTTTCGCAGACATCGTATCGTCCTTAACAGTCGTAGCCATTTTTCAATGATACTTTCTTATAATGTGTCACTATACACGTGCTTGAGCGGTCAAAACAATTAATCGAAATGTGACCCCTGCTACGTTGACACGACCAATGAGTTGTACTTGAATATACGCTGTTATGCGTGCTCACAACACACAAAATTACAATCAAATATTTCTTTTACATGTCGCAAATTCCGAAGAAATACTATACATTAACGGTTGCCGATTAGAATATTTTCAATTGAAGTTTAATTTGTTTACGTATAATGGCAGAAATTGCAACGGTATGTGATGCCATCAACGGGAAAACGTCGAAGTTTAGTACAGATCATAGACTGAAGAAACACACAGACATTTCGCATTATGCGATTCTCAGAGGAATACATAATTGAAAATCATAGATTACATCCAGAAGCGAACCATGCGGTATTTCGTGTTGCACACTCTGTAATACCGACGATGCTAAAATTGGCGGTAAATTTTTGTCTTTAATTTAAAGATTAAGTAAACGAAATTAACGGATTTTCATATGTTTATTAAAAAATGTTAAGTACATAAAATGTTGATATACATACATACGTGTATATAAATAATTAATCTTAACATTATTTTGTAGAGGCAAGAAGTAAGGCACGTATGCTTCTGCATAAAATCTGAACCATCCTAATATATACAAAATTGTTTCTTCCTCTCATTCACAAAGTGCTATCTTATCTTGGCAGCATGGATCGTTATATTATAATTAATTTTAAAAAGTATAAAAGTTTTAAATAATTAACTTTACGTTAAAAATACACATAGATATATCTGTGTATGTATAAATATTCTTTATATATGTATATATAAAGAAGTAGCATCATAAAATTTTACAAATACTTATTTACAAATCTTAGTCGTTTCTTCGTTGTCTGATATCGAAATTTCAACAGGTCGTAGAACCTTGAGCAGTTTTACGAATTTTTAGTCGCAAGAGTCATCGTAAAGCTTGATTACCGTCAGGAATAAAACAACGATCACTAAAAAATTATTGCATCTAACTCGAAGCTAGGAGAAATACTGCTATTATAAGTTAACTTCGTACCATTACGTAACAAATACTGTTAGCAACGTATGTACTAGGGATTCGTGTCAGATTCTCTCTAATGTAAAGTATGTACTAGTTTCATCAAGGTAATGCTGCCGATTCCGTCGCTAACGATACGACGAACATTGAATACAAGCGGTGCGAAGTCAGCGATTGGGAAGAGCAACCAAAAGTTTCGATACCATTGAGAACTATCCAAAAATAATGGACGCACAATATAAAATACATAGCACAGCTACCTTTTCTTTTTCTTATCAAGCGCAATTTCATTCGCGTCTAAACTCGATCTAACTATCAATAAATCGCGTATTTACAAAACCGTGAACGCTAGTTTATTTAAATTAGGAAACAAAGATAACTTTAAAAGCTGCCTGGTGTAAAATTAATATAAAACCTACGCGAATGCGATGGGAGAAACACTTCTCCCGCTAAGAGAAAAAAATAATAAAGTTGATTCAGTTCTGAGCTCGCGCGATTCTATTAGCTATCTATGCGCGCATAAGCTGACTTACACATAAATTCCTTGATTAATTGTCGACCATAAAGTGTGTAATGAACAGCAACATCGAACAAGAAAAAAATTTCGTCGAACAGGTACATTAATAATTTTAAGATACGCACTTCATGGTTGAACGTTGATTCCCTTATACTACCTTGAGCTCAACCAAAAGGTATCATGCACGAAGGTAAGACCTAGAACTTGAATCAAAATAAAACTACTGGACGAACACTTGTCCGGTAATTAAATCCAAGTATGTGAGCATACCTATTACGACACCCTGTACATGTCTTATAACGGTTTGTTCACTGAACTCGATGACATCTAAGATCTACAAGTTTAAAAGTCTCACTAAAAGAAGCATCGCTGTCGCTTTCTCCAAATGCGTTAAAATGAAGAATCGTATATTCTACGTTAAAATTGGAAAATGAATCCTGGCACGATAACTGGTTTCACAGAGGTTGTTCGATAGGCAGTGATCCCTGGAGCAGAGCGGGCTCAGTATACGATGTGTTCACGTCAGTTCCAGCTGTGTCACTGTTGTTATGGTTGTTGCTGTTGTTGTTTTGCCCGTTTAGAAACGAGGCCATTTCCATCGGCGACTGTTGTCCGCTCTGTTTAGAAACATGCGTGTTCGTTCGCTTCTTTCAGATCAGCTCGAAGGGAGCGAGTTTTGTGGGGATAACGTACGTGTACGGTGCTCGGAAGAAAAACGAAAGAAAAGCGGCTCCAGAGAAGAGTGCAGAGAGCGAGTAGAATTAAAGTAGCAGCACACGCGATCAATGCTAAAGCTAGGAAAGACTAGTCTCCTTAATATCGAATAGTCTGAAAGCAGAAACACGTTAGTCCAATGTAAATACATAGATGCAGTCGCGTGCGGATAGTGCGTAAGAAAAAAAATAAAATAAAATAGAGATTCGCTTTAAAATAGAACGGGGGGCCGAAGCACCGCAGAGGTGAACGTGCCAAACTTTAAGGCGTACCGTTGGAACACAATGGAGATCGTTCAATTCTAACACAATATGGATGCATGCACTGCAACACTAGAGACTTAAAACAAATACTAAATAAATTTAAAGCAGGTTTAATTTCCATTACAACTCGATCTCAACATCATCTATGAAGAAGTACGACAAATCTGAGAATTACATTCACAGTAATTATTTCGTCGTATAAAAATCAAGCTCTGCATTGTGTTCCAACTCCACAGAACACGCACACATACACACAGAACTATACGGATGTTCTCAGTACAAACATCGTAGGCGCACATAATGAACACGTACGCGATTAAAATTGTGTTTACGTTCGCCTAATGTACTTCTGACTGTGAGGGAAAAGTCGAATGACTTTAGACAATGGAAACTGAAATATGTATCTCTTTTAGGCGAAATCAGAGTATTATGTCTCTTTTTCTTTTTCATGAAATCGGCACAGCCTTCAGTCATTCTTTTCCTCTGAGACAGAGCAACAATTATTGATATTGCTACTTACAAATACCGACCTTAGGCTGTATTATATCTTCAGATGTGTCGAGACCAGCGAGCGGGTTTGACGTTATATTTATCTTCGAATCGGTGACTCCACCGTTCATTACTCTTCCATTTGTAATAGGTTTCCCTGAAGAACAGAATCAGATTTTATAAAACCTGTATCCTTGTTTCACTTACTGCTAGAATCAGAAATTATAATCACCTTCGCTCTGCGAAGATTCCCGACTTTGTTTGTGTTTAGTCCTCTTGTACACTACTGCTACTGCAGTTAGACCACCTAGTAGAGCTGATCCGCCAACGACCCCGCCTATTATTGCATACATGTTCGCGTTTCTATCGTCCGCAGGCCTTACCCGACTATCTAACGTCAGATTGCTACCGTGATCATTACGATTATCATTCTCGTGGTGCTCTACGATTGGCTTCTTCGTCTTCTGCCGGAGAATCTGCGAGAATTCCGACGCGGCGTCCACCGAGAAACTCTGCACCTTAAACTCATACGTTGTATCGGGTTGCAAATGAGATATAGTTATATTGAAAGAGTCCTTTCCTTCGACCGTAGTTTTCACATATTCCCCAGCAGATGACGAGGCTCGATGGTACACATAGTAGCCATCAATTTCTGTTGATTTATCTGGATTTTGCCAGATAAGCAACACTTCATGTGGGCTTAAAGCTTCAGTGTTTGTTAACAACGGTATGGGCATTCTGTTGCTCTTGAACCCGCCACTTTTGTTCAGATGGAAGCGAACCGAATTCGGGCTGAGTTTATTATCATTGTTTGAATAAACTGCAGCAATCCTGAACCGGTACGTATGATTAGGTTGCAGTTCAGTGACCTCAAACGAACCCACATGATTCGGTATCTCAGAGTTCGCGGTATTCCACTTCCCTGGCTTGCCATTTATTTTTGGTCCAAGCTCTCGGTATTGAACCTTGAAAAACTGAATCGGTAATCCTGTGTTCTCAGGTACAGACCATCTTACCATCACGGACATATCTGATAGTCTCGTGACATTAGGTTGATTCGGTGGTACCAGAACTGCTAAAAATTCAAAAAACACGTTCAGACACATTCAAACGTTTTACTCTGCTAAACTAAACATTGCAAATTACCAGTGCCTTTGCGCTTTCCATCTTTGCTTCTCCTCCTACCCCCTCCCCTCGTGTGCTTGTGCCTTGAATTAGGAATCCCATAATCTGGCCGCGATTCAGTCGTACCAATATGTTGTTTCGGGTTGACCCTCAATAAATTGTCGCCGGAGTCTGAACCGTAATCATTGCTCGCAGCACATTGAACTATGCCAGCGTGTTTTTTCTCAACTTCCGAGATAACGAGAGTGGAGCCTTTAATCTCTAGATTATCATTTGGCGTCAGAGATTCTCCATTGATTAGCCATTCCACTTTTGGATATGGTTCACCGGTTACCGAGCAGGAAAGCTCCAATTCTCCACCTTCGGAGAACGTAGACGCCTTCGGTGGTTTGACGATTTTCGGCGGTTCCATTAGTTTCAATATGATCACAGACTTTATATGTCCACCTTTGCTGCTCCACATACAATCATATTCTCCTCTGTCTGTCGATTGGACGTTCATTATCGTTAAGCCCATGACAGTTTTTACGGAATTCGTTGGTAATGGACTGCTCAATCTACTCCACGTAACAGAAGGCACCGGGTAACCAGCACCGAAGCACTCTAAAGTAACATTCTTACCCCGCAGAACCTTGTATTCGGTTTGCGGCTGTTTGATGAAGTATGGCGTTTGGAAAGTAGGATTAGCGTGTACGTTCAAAATGGTTTTACGATTGCTGGTAAACAATTGGCTGGTTATATAATTACTAGCTGTGCAGTGATAGTTTCCGCTATCCGATACTTTAGCATTTTCAATGATCATGGTCTTCCCGTTAACATTCGGTATGAGCTTGTTGTCTTTGTAGAACTGTACTATAGCTTCTGGTGCTGAGTAAGGGACGGGACATGTTATAGGTACTGTGTTTCCTGCTGCAACGTGTATGACGACGTCGTTCTTGTCGGTGAACTTCTGCAAAGTTGCAAGCGTCAATCTTGCTGGGTCAGAAGCTAATCCTAAACTGGTGCCTACAACGATAAATAAAAATCAATCGACATGCGGAGAAGTTGTGAGAGTAAGAAAAATGAAGCCTGGACTTGCCATAAAAAGCTATGCACCGGTAATCCCCGGCTTTTGATTCGTCATCGAAATTCACTACATGCCTGGACGTTTTGCCACCATTGCTAGGCGTGTGAAGAACTGGCACCCATTTGTCTGAGTTCAATCGTCTATGACGCCAAGCAAAACGTTCCGCAGGAAGGTTCAGATTGCATTCAAAGTTCACTTCGTCGCCCAACGGTGCATCCAGAGGTTGAGGGTGCCGGGTAAAGGACATGCCCGAATCTTGCCTTTGTTCTGTGAATGAAAGAACATCGATAAGTAATCCATACGAATCAAAAGCATCCTACATCAATCTTGGTTGAGACACCATTAAACATGTAAAAGAGGATTTTATGAGAACACTCACCGTGTGCATAACTGACCAGAACGTGAAGCAAAGTCACAACGACGCCACATAGGGACGGCATAGGCTGCATCTTGACACATTCTGGAATGAAGGAAGAGATGAGTTCATTACGCGTTACTCGGCTGATTCGTCTCGTTCGCTTTCCCGACCTCGTTGCCCGGGGGTGAGACGGAAATTCGCAGAGACTAGAGTCGCCAGCAAGAGTCCACTAAAATTAATGCCCGGCAAGCATGTTTAAGTTTAGAACGGCGGAGAGTTCACGTGGAAATAGAACGCATTCTCGTTCTAGTTTTCACGATATCGTGGCTCGGCGACTTCGAGACGCGAAAACGTCAACACATTTAATGGGACCGCGCATATCAAGCCCTGGTAAAACGCCCTAATTTACGCTGGCCCAACTTGGCTTCCCGTTTTCAAAATTCCCGCGTGCGCACATCGCCCTGTCAACTGGAGTAGTCTTACAACTTATAACACGTTGTAAACATCTTCTATAAATTAATGAACGCAAATAAGTTCGAACATATTACATACAGTATAATACAATACTATGCTCATTTTAACAGTTTTGTATTTCGTCCAAATATTTTTTCATTTTTGCTTATAACACATTTATCCTTGATTTAAAATGATTCCATAAATTCTATGCAGTTGGTGTACCCTTGAGTGGTCTCTTGGGGCACAACATCGAGTTTGTATTTAGCGCGCAACGAAAGATGGAGGAGGGTGGGGGCTACCGGTGCGACCTCAACAGGAAATACCTGTAACTCGATTGGTTGGTACTTTAACGGCTTTTAGAAAAAGACGCCAATTTCATTTTAAAATATTGGTTATTTAAACGTTTAATACCGCTATAAGGCATTACGATTTTTTCAGGTCGAGTGGACATTTATACTATAACTTGCTGTTAAACTATACGTTTGAAAAGATCTTGGAGATATAATTGTGGCGGCTATAAGACAAAATTGGAAATGCATCGGGGAACAAAGAAAGCAAGGCCGCCGCGAAAAGTCGAGGTGGGGGCCAAGATGCCACAATAACAATACGAAAAATAACCATATACGGCAACGAAAATCGTTGATCATTGCGCGCACCACACCGCTTTCCACCCACGTGTCGACGCCTGACCATCGTAAGTGACGATCAGAAAACCGTACCGACGTGTCCGAGTCCGATGGAAATTATTTGTTGGCTAACACACGCGCCTTACGTAGGCAGATCCATTCACGGTATTACATCGTGATGCTCGCCCACGCGGCACTCTGCCACACGGAATTAACGCACACGCATTCTCTTTTCTCTAAGAAACATTTCCTCCACTACCGCGAACTCTCTTTGATCGGGCACGAAATTATATTTAACATTTCATTTTAATTATTTATCCGAAGAAACTTGCTTCCTGCTATTGGGGAACAATTCATGTTTTTACTCGATCTCATTTCATAATAGCAGATCTCTGTCAAAAGTGCTTCGGGGAACTATAAATATTTTTAATGAAAAATGTTTGTGACTCGAAGAGTTTTTCGGGCTCCTTAAGAATTTCATTAGACAAGATGACGAGTCTGTTACGACGAAGAAAGAAATTCGTCCAAGAGGATTCGTCATTGTCGTCGTGAAGCGAAGGGACATTTTTCATCGGAGACGAAATCCATAGGGCGGGAGGGGGGGTACAAAAAGCACACGTTCGGCCCGTTCGCAAGGCAGTTTAACGTGTTTTATGTACGGGAGGACTCTTAACTTCTGGTTAAATGGTAGCATAAATGCCGCTGGTATGTAACAGGTGAGAAGGGCCCCAAAGAGGCTGGTTTCCGACGTTGCCTCTCATAAAAATAAAGAACTCGAATTCCAAAGCAGTGGTTGTCAACCCCCCGCCGCACCCCGCGCCCTCTCGAACGATGCCTCGGCACACCTAACCTTACGGACGAGCCAATGCCACCCGGGTTACGCACACACGCTCGACTTGATTGTAACAGCTGAACGAAAGAGAATTAGAGTTGTTCCCTTTGCAACCGCTGTTTAACTAGAGTTTCTCGAATTCCTGAATCATTTTAGGACATGCAGATGAACCTACCGTTCGTCGAGCCAGGATCGAGAGTCTGGTTTCCGCTTTCATGACCTAGCCGTGTCGTTGCCAACCAAAATGCGGAAAGATCTGGATGATCGAGAGAACAATAACAGTGTACTAAATCTCGAACGATCTCTACTGTTACGATACCACACGAAACAATCCACATTTCTAACTACTTTTCGTACTGCTAAGATTCCGAAATAGATCTTCTTAATTATATCCTTCGTTAATACGATGGTCTCATACAATGGGGATTTAAATTAAACTACAATCTACAAAATGAAATCAACAACGATATATGAAAGCTTTTTTTATGTTCGTACATGTTTGAGAAAAATATTCGAACGTATATTTAGTTTTTCAAATAAATCAGACCGCAAATGTTTGTTTACGATAAACGTATCAAGATAATTTGACACCGTGCTTGTGTAATTTCTTTTAATTCCGACGTGGTTAGATGTTCGAATCGTCGGTTTTTAATCTCTCAAAGCTTCCCGGAGACGCATTGTACTACAGGAATTAAATTGACGTTAATTTCGTGCAGGAGTAAAATGTAGTGTTCCGTTACACGTGACAAACAGGAACCAGGAAGATCGGGTTCCCATTGATCGTGCAGGTCCGAGAGAAGTGGACCCTTCCTCTCGGCCGATCGTCGATTAATCACGTGAACGGTTTTCGTTGGTTTCGTATCGTCGATGTTCGATACGAACCCAACTGCGGCTAACTTATTTCTCTTCCTCGGTATGCACAGGGCGACCGCTTAGACAAAACGAGCGAAGAATATTTAGCCGTATATGTGTCATACACTATTTTAATCTGCTTCCCCATAGCTGCCACTTATATTCCTGCCATCACCGCTCCATTTCAGAGGAACCATAACTGTAATTACTATTGTTTCTTTCGTTTTCAACATTTGTTTCTCGGGCCCTACTATTCCCACGGACACTGATCGCTGTCTGTATGCGGTCACACACGAATACCATTCGCTCGAGTTCGCGTAGCTGGGAAGATGACAGCGCGTACCGCTGACGCGTTTATCAAAGTTTAATCAAAAAGCACGTAACATGCATACCATACGTCGGAACGCAGGCGCATTGAGCAGCGCGGTATTATCCGAACGACGATTTCGTTGATTGTTTGGGTTTGAAAGATCCAGCAAAATTTCTCGCGGGAGACTTCCTGACGCTCGACCGATGCACCGGCCGCTCAAATTTTAACGAAAATACCAGTGGCTCACCCCTTCCGGCAGGTGATCTTACGCCGCGACATCATAAGCGAATCTTCCGGACGATAAGCACTCCTGTTGGTCGCACAGTTCCGTTCCCGACCACGATTTCCCATGTGTAATTTCACAAAATGCGAAATTAATGTCAAAAACGACGAAAATCAACGATACTGATTAAGAACAATGTGTTTGTGTAAGGTACACACTCACCCTTTTGCCTTCGATCCGGCGGTACGATCCTTCCGTTCCAGATCTTTTGGGATACCCGTGAACTCGTTACCAATGCTCCTCTCGGAGATGAACGAGCAGTTCCTGCGATCTTCTTCCGGTGTATCACTTCATTTTTCTTTTCGCCGATCGTCGCAAGGTCCGATCGATTCGATTTCCTATAGAACACGACGCTTGGCGTCCACCAGCGTACCAGACCAGCACACTGGAATGTAGACCGACAGGTTTTGAACCGCGATAAAGTATGCAGTTGTTCGCCCCACTCCTCCTGTTGGAAAATCACTAGCGAAGGCGGAGGTCCCTATATCGGCTGTGATAATCTATGTCTATGGTGTGTATGATATACGACAGTATGTACATACCTTATTATATATGGTCTCAGGTACATACATATACGGTCTGCAGATCTTATATCTTTGGAAACAATAAAAGTATCTTAACACTGTTTACTTTCCTAAATCAAAATAAAAACAGTATTTGCATTTATCTATTAACAAAGATTTACTTTATCGTTGGTTGTATTCACAGAGTCTTATCAATGAATTTGAATTTCAATTATGATACCTTCAAAATTATATTTTTAAACATATTCTTTCTTCCAGTTCGTTTTAATATGCGTAAAATGTCTGGATACTTTGTGAATACAGACTTGAATTTCCCTCTCTTATTGTTAGTTTATATTCCAAACTCTAGTGGTGTTGCGAACTGGTTTATGAAGTTGATGAGAGGTTATTAATCTATAAAGTATAGTATTCATGCATAGAAATTAAAGTGATTTGAATAACCCGCTCTTTCCTTCTTTAGTTTCTGATTTTTAACATTGATGACGTTGTAGTAACAATTATGTACTGTATGCTACACATATGTATGTATCTACATCAATCTATATCATGGAGGTTTGATCCACGTGTAGTAGTGTTGCTCGGTTTATGATAGATATTTTCAAATGTGAAGAATAATAAATATAATTTCTTATTCTTTCAAAGAGAACCGGTGTATTATTATTTAAACTTTTATTGTGTGATAAAAAAAAGGAAGATGTTAACAACAAAAGTTTTCTTTCGCAAGACCAAGAGTGGCAATGTTTTTAAAGTAAACAACAAACGCTTGACAATTACTTGATGAACTTAAGTCAATCATAAATAATTAAAAATGAATGAATATATTTATTTCTCTGTTTAGACCGTACGTGAACATTATCTTCGTGATGACATTCATTGCGGATTTCTAGCATGTGATAAATGCTTGCACAGAAACAAAAACATTATTTTAGATGATGATGATTCCAGCGTAAAAAATACTAAACTCATGCAACCGTATTATCTTTTATTAGATACTAATATTGTTTTAGATCAGGTGAGTATGGATTATATAAAATAGTGATAACATATAGAACTGATTTGTAACAATAATGATAACAATCATTTTTTGACTATAGATTGATATTTTGGAAGAAGATGTTCTATGTAATGTCATAATTTTGCAAACAGTGTTAGAGGAAGTCAAACATAAAAGTTCTACCGCATTTAAAAAGTTGAAAGCTATTATTAGTGAAACACATAGAAGATTTTATGTATTTGTCAACGAACATCATAAGTATGTAAGATATATTATATTTAATATATTAGCTATAATCAGAAGTGATTTTCAAAGTTATTATAATATATTTTTGTTGAGCAGAGAGACATACGTTGAACGTCGTCCGGGTGAAAGCATGAATGACAGAAATGATAGAGCAATTCGTGTTGCAACAAAATGGTATAATACTCACTTAGCTGCTATTAATTGCACTATTAAAACTGTGCTATTAACAGATGATGCAAAAAATAGAGAATTGGCTGAAAAAGAGGGAATACCAGTCTTAACAAGTAATGCTTCTTTGTATTAATTTTATCATTATTAATAGTTTCAAATATTATCCTTATGTATATGTGTTAATTTCTTTCCAGTGGAGGATTATGTGCTATCGTTAGAAAATTCAAGCCTATTAGCAGATAAATTATGCAAACGCAATTACGGTGTAGAGAATAGCAGTAAACCATTTTTTCCATGTCATCTCACTCCAGTTCAACTGCATGATGGTATCAAAAGTGGAAAATTTCTGCAAGGAACATTTGCAGTCTCAAGAGAAAATTTTCTTGAAGGATACGTAAATACAGAAGGGAGAGAAAAATCTGTAGGTGCTTCATTGTTTCCTATATTACTTGTCGCGTCTAAATACGGATATAAATTATTATATATATTTGTTTCTAGATTCTTATTCAAGGTCGAAGTAATCTGAATAGAGCTGTTGATGGCGATACAGTTGCAATAGAGCTTCTAGCAGAGGAGCAATGGTCATCCCCTAGTGACATTGTTCTGCAGGATGAAGTAGAAGCAGATGTAGACGATGTTCTAGAAACTGAGAAAGTATTAGACAAATTTGTTAACACTAACAAAATGGAAAAAACCCCCACTGGAAAGATTGTCGGTATAATCAGAAGGAACTGGAGGCAGTATTGTGGGATATTGCAACCTACTAATATTGAAGGGGTAAACAGTCTGGAGTTCTCAACATTAACCCAAACATTCGGTGTACATGCTATATAGTTGTATCTCATAACCTTATTAATTTTTCACTAGAATGTGAAACATTTGTTCGTCCCAGCTGAACGAAAAATACCGAAAATTCGAATCGAGACTAGGCAGTACGAATTGTTGCGTAAACAGAGAATTATAGTTGCTATTGACTCATGGCCGCGCAATTCTAGATACCCTCTGGGTCATTTCGTTCGCGCTTTAGGCGAAATAGGGCACAAAGTGACCGAGAACGAAGTCATTCTTTTAGAACATGATGTTCCGCATAGTCGATTTTCTGATGCGGTTCTTAGCTCACTTCCTAAAATGCCTTGGTGCATCACTGAAGCTGTATGTATATCAATAAGACTAGACCTACTTGCCAAAATAATTTGCACGAACTAAACGCATGATTTAACAATACTCAGGACATAGCTCAAAGGGAGGATCTCAGATATTTAGATGTATGTTCGGTCGATCCTCCAGGATGTACGGATATTGACGATGCACTCCATTGTAAACCATTAAAGAATGGTAATTTTGAAGTTGGCGTACATATCGCTGATGTAACACACTTTATTAGACCTGGTACAGCTTTGGACAAAGAAGCTGCTTTGCGAGCTACGACTGTGTATTTGGTTGATACGAGGATTCAAATGATTCCAGGTGAAGACGAATTTATTAACAGCTTATGAATCATGTTTCAATAAAATTGCTGACAAAATATTGGTTACAGAATTGCTGAGTACAAATCTGTGTTCCCTGAGAGGAAACGAAGAAAGGTTTGCATTCTCTTGTATATGGGAAATGGACACAGATGCAAATATAGTTAACACCAGGTACTGCAAGTCTGTAATTCGTTCACGGTCAGCTATGACTTATGACCAGGCGCAATTGAAAATAGACGACCTCACTCAGCAAGATGTACTTGCACAGTCATTGAGAAATCTCAACAATCTGGCGAAGAAGTTAAAACAGAGACGTTTAGAAAATGGGTACATATATTGTTTACGTTGAGAACCATATTTCAAGGTATATAAATTATTTACAAATAATCATTGAATTTTTGTTGTGTAGTGCATTGGTACTAGCTTCACCAGAAATTCGTTTCCATGTTGACGACGAAACTCACGATCCCATCGATGTGGAGGCGAAGAAATTAAAAGAAACAAATTCCATGATTGAAGAGTTCATGTTGCTTGCAAACATCTCGGTTGCTGAAAAGATAGTTGCAGAATTTCCGGAATGCGCTGTATTGAGAAGACATCCGGAACCACCGCCTGCCAATTTCGAGCCTTTGATAAAAGCTGGAAAAAATCAGGTATAAAAATTTCATTGGAATATTAATAGACAATGTGATAACGTGAATCCCGTTCAAACAGGGCTTCGCTATAAACGTCAACAGTGGAAAGGAACTGGCAGAATCTTTAGATCAATGTCATATAGAAGACAATCCATATTTCAACACTATGTTAAGAATATTAGCAACTCGATGCATGATGCAGGCTGTGTACTTCATTAGTGGCATGCATCAACGAAGCGAATATTTCCATTATGGTTTAGCGTGTCCTATTTATACTCATTTTACGTCGCCCATTCGAAGGTAATAGTATATAATAATTCCTATCATCAATAGAATGCAATTAATACGCTATCTTTTAATATGTAGATATGCAGACGTAATGGTTCATCGTTTACTGGCGGTTTGCATAGGAGCTGACGCTACATATCCCGAATTATTAGACAAAAAGAAAAATCATGAGCTCTGTCATAATCTGAATTATCGAAATCGAATGGCTCAGTATGCTGGTCGTGCATCTGTTGCACTTAATACTCACGTTCGTATTTGAGATAATTTTTAGTTTTGTCGTTTAATTTTTCTATTGATAATATTTCTTTTCTTGTGCAGTTGTTCTTCCGAGAGAAAATACAAGACGAGGAGGGATATATACTTTTTGTACGAAAGAACGCGTTGCAAGTACTGATTCCGAAATACGGTTTAGAAGGAACATTGTACTTAAAGGACAACAAAGAAGCAGGTGTGTCGTTTCAGTACGGTGCCGAGGATCATTCTCAAACTTGTGAAAATATTATATTCCGTACATTCGATCCTGTTATAGTCCAAATTTGTTTGGACAGATCCAATGTACAGCATGAAAAATTAATATTTAAACTAGTTCATCCACATGTGAGTATAGATATCATAATAAATGGTAATACAATATGCATAAGCAAATATTGATAAAAATGATGTTGAAATAGATCCCAGGATTTAGCGTGTCTCCAGTGAGTGCACAGGTCTCTTGTACTGTGCAACAAAATACGGTAGAAGTAGGTAAGCGAAAAATGGACGAAAATGTACATATGGAAGATAATACTGGGGCAGTTGGAAATAAAAAGAAGAAAAAGAAGAAGAAGAAGCAGACTTAACATCATTTAGAAATTTCAATTTTCGAAGGATTTATTTTCGAGTGTATGTTTTACATTAAATCTTTGAAATATATATGTAACGCGAAGAATAAATTATTTTATAACCTGTAATCACTTTACATTGTTGTACGACCGTATGGTGACTATGTTAGATGGAATAACCAAAATAAAATTAAAGAAACTGTAAATATTATTTTAACGAATAATAGAAATATTTTAACGAAAAAAAATAGTGTCTGTTTAAGGTGACCGCAAGTGTTTAAATATCTTCTAAACCAATTATATGAAAACCTAAAAGATATGGGGTTATGTATTATCAGTCGATTTTCCTAACTAAAAAAAACTTCAAAAGACACATGAAACAATAATAGATCATTATTTTATTTAAAATGAACANAAAATAAAATTAAAGAAACTGTAAATATTATTTTAACGAATAATAGAAATATTTTAACGAAAAAAAATAGTGTCTGTTTAAGGTGACCGCAAGTGTTTAAATATCTTCTAAACCAATTATATGAAAACCTAAAAGATATGGGGTTATGTATTATCAGTCGATTTTCCTAACTAAAAAAAACTTCAAAAGACACATGAAACAATAATAGATCATTATTTTNTCGCTATAAACGTCAACAGTGGAAAGGAACTGGCAGAATCTTTAGATCAATGTCATATAGAAGACAATCCATATTTCAACACTATGTTAAGAATATTAGCAACTCGATGCATGATGCAGGCTGTGTACTTCATTAGTGGCATGCATCAACGAAGCGAATATTTCCATTATGGTTTAGCGTGTCCTATTTATACTCATTTTACGTCGCCCATTCGAAGGTAATAGTATATAATAATTCCTATCATCAATAGAATGCAATTAATACGCTATCTTTTAATATGTAGATATGCAGACGTAATGGTTCATCGTTTACTGGCGGTTTGCATAGGAGCTGACGCTACATATCCCGAATTATTAGACAAAAAGAAAAATCATGAGCTCTGTCATAATCTGAATTATCGAAATCGAATGGCTCAGTATGCTGGTCGTGCATCTGTTGCACTTAATACTCACGTTCGTATTTGAGATAATTTTTAGTTTTGTCGTTTAATTTTTCTATTGATAATATTTCTTTTCTTGTGCAGTTGTTCTTCCGAGAGAAAATACAAGACGAGGAGGGATATATACTTTTTGTACGAAAGAACGCGTTGCAAGTACTGATTCCGAAATACGGTTTAGAAGGAACATTGTACTTAAAGGACAACAAAGAAGCAGGTGTGTCGTTTCAGTACGGTGCCGAGGATCATTCTCAAACTTGTGAAAATATTATATTCCGTACATTCGATCCTGTTATAGTCCAAATTTGTTTGGACAGATCCAATGTACAGCATGAAAAATTAATATTTAAACTAGTTCATCCACATGTGAGTATAGATATCATAATAAATGGTAATACAATATGCATAAGCAAATATTGATAAAAATGATGTTGAAATAGATCCCAGGATTTAGCGTGTCTCCAGTGAGTGCACAGGTCTCTTGTACTGTGCAACAAAATACGGTAGAAGTAGGTAAGCGAAAAATGGACGAAAATGTACATATGGAAGATAATACTGGGGCAGTTGGAAATAAAAAGAAGAAAAAGAAGAAGAAGAAGCAGACTTAACATCATTTAGAAATTTCAATTTTCGAAGGATTTATTTTCGAGTGTATGTTTTACATTAAATCTTTGAAATATATATGTAACGCGAAGAATAAATTATTTTATAACCTGTAATCACTTTACATTGTTGTACGACCGTATGGTGACTATGTTAGATGGAATAACCAAAATAAAATTAAAGAAACTGTAAATATTATTTTAACGAATAATAGAAATATTTTAACGAAAAAAAATAGTGTCTGTTTAAGGTGACCGCAAGTGTTTAAATATCTTCTAAACCAATTATATGAAAACCTAAAAGATATGGGGTTATGTATTATCAGTCGATTTTCCTAACTAAAAAAAACTTCAAAAGACACATGAAACAATAATAGATCATTATTTT